TAAAACAGAATTTACTTCCTATCTATTCAGAAATCAACTTCACTCTGTAACATATGTAATTACATTAAAGTCTCTATCTCACGCACAGAGTTGTATGAACTGAATGACAGGATACCCCCATCAAAATCCAATCAGACATGAGACACATCACAGCAAAACAATGATTCATTAAGTTAAAGCAGAAATACTTCATATTGTTAAATAAAAAACTGAAAGAACTGCAGATGATGTAAATCAGAAACAAAAACAGAAATTGCTGGAAAAGCTCAGCAGGTCTGGCAGCATCCGTGGAGACAAATCAGGAATCGGAAGAAGGGTCACTCAACCCAAAACGTTAACTCTGATTTCTCTCCACCGATGCTGCCAGACCTGCTGCGCTTTTCCAGCAATTTCTGTTTTAGATACTTGGTCTTGTTGACTGGTGGATCTCCAAGGTTTCTGCAATTATCCCTGAAAACCATCTATCCGGATGGAAGAATGTTCCGAGTGGAAACCCAGGACTTTCCAAAATGAAATGCTGTAAGAATTCATGGGAGAACTGTCCCTGAGCCATTCGTGTTTTTGATAACTCATATTTGAATAGTTCTAACACTTCTTAATACAATGAACTTTCAAGAGGAATAGATTTTACATTTCTACTTGAACAGTTGAAATTTTGTATAGCTAGTTAACCAGGTATACCTTAGTAATTCCATTAACATTAATTTTTCATCAACTGGATTACAGAGTGGAGGTTTCATTATCCAACACAATACTTCAGAGATTTAATAAAACCTCGGATAAAGGAATACACCAGGTATTATACTCATTAGAATCAACCTTAAATTCTTAACTGCTCCTCTAATATCATAGAATTCCTATAGTGTGGAAACAGGCCCTTCACCCCAACAAGTCCACACCAACCCCTGGAACATCCCACCCAGACCCATCCCCCTATAACCCACCTAATCTGCACATCCCAAACCACTACGGGCAATTTAGCATGGCCAATCCACCTAGCCTGCGCATCTTTGGACTGTGGGAGGAAACCGGAGCACCCGGAGGAAACCCACACAGACACGGGGAGAACATGCAAACTCCACACAGACAGTCGCCCGAAGTTGGAATCGAACCGGGGTCCCTGGAGCTGTGAGACAGCAGTGCCACCATGCCGCCCCATGATATGACTTAGCAAACTCACTCAAGGCAACGAGGGATGGGCAATAATTACCAACCTTCACAGCACTGCATGATTCTACTTTGGAATACATGCTGTAAAATGGAACTTATCCCATCAGTGAATTTAGCCTTTGGAGTGCAAGGTCAAGCTCATGACTAAAACTTTACGGCAAAATATACAAAAAATAATTCTCCTTATCCATCCCGAAACAGTCACTACAAAACCCAGTTTCTACTTCACGGCAGTTCCGAGTCTTGCATTTATAGATAAATATCCCAGCTCAGGAGTTACTGAGTTACACTCCCATCTGGTAACATGGCAGTTAGCATGACATGAATTGTTTGTTTAATCACTCACAGAAGGAGTTGAAAAAGAATAAAAACAAAGCTGTAGCAAAATCCAATCCACAAATAATAAAACACTCAAGCATATATTGCACTTGAGCAGATCTCCAGTCTGCTCCACTGGACACGCTCAACACCAGTGCTCCAGTTGATGGTTATTATAATACAGCAGTATGTCTTTGACACTTATTTCTAGCAAGTTTTACATTAAGTGTTACATATAATTGTTAAAATGTTTATAGAGGGAGTATTAACATTCTCCTGATTGTCTACACAGTTTTGCATTCAACTTCCTTCTGGGAATTTTCTCGTTTTCATTCAAATTCTCATAAAATAATTCAGGGTAAAGAGCTCCGTGATGATATTTGCATATGTTGGCCTGCAGGCCTTGCAACTTTCCATCAGTTATAAATAAGGATCTGCGACAAAAGTGCTAAGTAGCTTAACCCATTCTTCACAGATGATGTGGAGGTGCTGATGTCGGACTGGGGTGGATAAGGTCAGGAGTCACACGTCACAGGTTATAGTCCAACAGGTTTATCTGAAATCACAAGTTTCGAAGCGATTCTCCTTTGTCGACAATAACCTGGTATCATGTGACTTCTGACCAGAAGCAAGGAAGGCGTTAGTGGAAATCAAAAATCTGAGAGCCATCCCTGAGCTACTGACATTTGAATAGTTCTAACTGCTTAATAAATCATTATTCAACATTAATAGATATTGCATTTCTCTTTGATCAGCTGCAATTTTATCTGCATTTTTTTTAACTTAAAGCTTTAACCTCAAATCCTCCAAAGTATTTAGCTTTTTTCAGTTGTATTTTAAGAGGAACTTTCACATATTTAATAAATAATGTTTAAAGTGGAATTAATACTCTTTGCCATGGCAATGCTTGTATTACGATATGGGCTAAAAGTTAATGCTTGATCTTGGTCCCCGAGTCTGTCTTTTTGGGGATGAGAAATGCTACCCACTAGTAGTCCTCTTCGTTGAGAAATGGAGGGGGATAAAGGCAAGGAGGGAGCCGCGAACTCCTAACCACAGCTGAACATCATTAATTCAGAGAGAGCGAGAGAGCGCAAGCAAGAGAGAAAGATAGATGGTTCACATCAGCCTGAGCTGTGCAAAAAGCAGCAGTCTTCCAAAGTGGGGAATTTTGTTAACCCATCAGTGCGGGACCCTTTGGTTCTTAGTCTGTAGATCCAGAACATACCAGCTTGGAATGGAGGCAGGACAAGGTTCCCTACGTCAGAAAAAGCTTCAGAGTAAAACCTAGAAAGCCACTTTATTCATTAGGAGATAGTAGGAACTGCCGATGCTAGAGTCTGAGATAACAAGGTGTGGAGCTGGATGAACACAGCAGGCCAGGCAGCATCAGAGGAGCAGGAAGGCTGACATTTCGGGTCTGGACGCTTCTTCAGAAATGGGGGAGAGGAAGGAGGCTCTGAAATAAAGAGAGAGAGGGGGAGGCGATGATAGAACGTGGATAGAGGAGCAGATAGGTGGAGAGAAGACGGACAGGTCAAGGAGGCGGGGACGAGAAGGGCTGGTCTTGGGATGAGGTCGGGGATGGGGAGATTTTGAAGCTTGTGAAGTCCACATTGAGACCATTGGGCTGCAGGGTTCCCAGGCGGAATATGAGGTGCTGTTCTTCCTTTATTCATTAGTTCTTAATGTTTAGTCTCACAAAGTCTCATAAAACAGCAGTGACTTTATTAGGTTGGAGTGTACTTAAAAAAAGCTTTGTAAAACATACAAGTATGGAAAATTAATACTTTAAATAACCTATGGTTCAAAATATACTTAGGGGAGGTGATTATCCTAGCGGGATTATGACTGGAGTGTTAATCTAGAGATCCAGGTCATGTTCTGGGTTTGAACCCCATTCCCGGCTAATGGCGGAATTTGAATTCAATAAAAATCGTGAAATAAGAGTCCATGAATTCATTGTCAATTGTCAGAAAAATCCATCCATTTCACTAATGTCCATAGGGAATATAACTGCCATCCTTACCAGGTTTGGCCCACATGTGACTCCAGACCAACAGCAATGTGGATGATTTTAACTGGCTGAGCCAGGGGTAGTGATTTGAATTAAAGACATTTACAAGTAATTTTTCAGGTATCTGAATTGTGCTTCAAAAATGCATCATCTATCATCTCAGACTGTTGCTACAGCCACTGCTGCTGTTCTCAGCTGGATTATACTTTATTTTACTCAAAGCCTTTAAAAGGTGTAGACTAAAGTCAGAGGTCACTTTGATGGCCCAGGATGTAAATCTAATATGAAGTAGCCAGTTTCAGGGCACACATCCTTCCATGAGCATCCTAAATCATAACTGGAGTAAATGTCTGATTACAATACAACTGATGTTATCTACATATTCTTAAGAATAGTAAAAATTAAGAAATCATTCATTTTTAAGCAATATTTCATACTGACAATAATGGGAACTATTCTAAACAGCCAGTAGTGCAAATGCCAAGTCATTCACATTCATTATCCAAATGACTAATTTTAACCAATACAATATTTCTTTTTTCTCCATCCAACTAGCATGTGTAGAATTTGGAGATGCAGTTCAAGATACCATAGTTGGTATGCACTGGGATATAGGCAGAAACCTTAACAGGGCCTAATGTCCAAGCCAGGATATGGAGCCCAGTAGAATGGTATTCCCATTTGAAGTTTGGGACCTCATATATGGATATTGTACATATGAATTTCAGAATGTCTAAACATGTATTCTTCTCAAGATGCTCTGCTGTGATTCCAGGTATAATACTTACTCTATGGTGGTATTACTCCATATCCCTGACATACATGAAATTCAGGAACAAAATCCACCTTGCCCTGATTGCAAAGGCTTTCAGGTGGCTATTAGTGTCTTAGTGAAAGAAAATCTATTAATACAATCTGCCACTGTTGAGATTTGTAATTTGCATTGTTAGACTGGAGAATAATCATTTTAAACAAAATTTAAAATTGCATCACCAAAACATTGGTAGAAATCTATTCTGCAGTATTTTGGAATTTTGGGCTATTGGTAAAGGATTTTTGCATTATCTTGGTCTTCAAGTATCAAACTATCCCAACCCAATACCATCTCCAGTTTGACAGGCCGATTATAAATTCTGCAACACGTTTAGAAAGTTTTCATTATTGACCACTTTTACTGTTTGTGGGACTACGCTGTGCACAGTTTGATTTCAACAGTTGTGGCAGTGACTCAACACACTTAAAAGAACTTTGGCATATTCTGAAGATGTGATAGTAACTGTTATAGATCAGTTTTCACTAATTTCTCATTTAATATAGAAATCATCACCTTCGCATAAAACGTTTAGAAGTTACTTCATAATTGCAAGCATCTTACCAATAAAAGATGCCCAACGTGGGACGTTCAGTGCTCACAAGGCATAAATAACAAATAAAAGAGTACACTGTAACCTTTACTACTTCACTGAAAGTAAAAGCACAAATTATAGAAACAGAATATCTGAAAATGTTTTAATTTGCATTGCCACAAAAGGAGAACACCTAGCATTTTCCTTGAGCTTTTAAGAATGAAGTATGGTGTAGCTGGTTTTGAAAAATGATGTGATGATGTCAAAGGCAAATGACTGGAAAATCAGCTATCAGTGCGCATTAATTGACTCACCACTGTCTGTGTCATCCATGTCTCCTGCATCACCAGGGTTTATGCCAGTATTAGACCAGTCACTCTTCTATATATATTAAAATTATGAGTTGCAAAACTAAGGGCCAAGACAAAAATACAGTACTTGCCACAATCCCAGCTTACAATTTTAGTAAAATTACAACAGTCATCTTGATTTGAGACATTTACATGAAAGTGTAAGGCTCTCATTACAAACACCAACAAGGTTAAAGAAACCTTGTCTGACAACTGCAGTATGACAGAAAAAATGCTGATGCACTTTCAAGCACTGTACTCTGAATAGCTCATCACATCATCTGCAAAACATCTTAATGTTTAATGAATCGTAAAATGTGTAAAACATTAGTAATGTTACAATGCGAGAAAGCTTCCAATTTGAAGGACCATCTGAAGAAGCCTAAGCACACCTAAATTTATATTGCCAGTCAAGTCTTATTTTTGGTGTTTAGAATGGGATAGGTGGTGTTGGATTTGAATTCACAACCTATAATAGAATGAAGCAAATGTTCCAGGTAGATTTCTATTGGAATGGTTTATGAAGCTATTTAAAAGCAGATGTAGAGGGGCACAATTTTTATTTAAACCTTGTTCCCTAGTATGGCAGATAACTCCCACAGAACGTTGTTTCAGTCCAAAGTAGCAGGAAGACAAGCACGTTCTGAAATGGAGCAAAATTATAAATGATATGTTTATCAATCACAAACTACAATACGGACACTGAACAACCAAAAGCAATGGAGTGCAGGAAATTAACAGTGCTGAACAGGTCTCAGAGTGTGGACGGCTGATGGAAATTGAAGAGTTTCTAAACTTGATGTCTATGATCATGGTCAACACAGTGCGGAGCTGGAGGAACACAGCAGGTCAGGCAGCATCAGAGGAGCAGGAAAGTCGACGTTTTGGGTCGGGACTTCTCTGTTCCTCTGATGCTGCCTCACCTGCTGTGTTCCTCCAGCGCCGCACTGTGGTTGACTCTGATTCCAGCATCGGCAGTTCTTGTTATCTCCTGTGATCATGGGTTGGTTTGGGAGAAACACGGATTCCCTGAGAGACTGTAGAGGTAGGAAGATGTGCATTGGGCACAGCCATTAGGGCATGGTGTGGAATTAGCTTATTTCCTCTCTAAACAACTGGAATTATAAAATCTCATCAATCAAGATTTGAGATCCATAAAATCACAAAAGTAATGCTTGGTTTCTAACTAATCTATATTTTAAATTCCACTTCATCACGCACCAACATGTTCCAGTGTGCAAACACCTTTACAAGTCATAACCAATCCCAAAAAGGGTAGGATTGATGAGAGTGAATGTCTAAATCGTGTTCTTTTTCCTGTTTTAGTGTAATTACCTCCTAAACCTATACAAAGATATTTACCCAGCACTCATCTGGTCTTCCAAGACTAATAAACAGTTTCTGTGAAATGGGCAAATTCCAGGACAATTATACACCTTGAGAGAAGGTTACGGCTGCGGAGTTGGATTGTAACTATTTTGGCCATTTGCTTTGGTTAGAATAGTCTATAAGCCCTTGTTGAAGTAAACTACATTGATGCCAGGATTACTCGACAAAATCTTAGCTTGAAGCTCTGGTTCCAGGCGGGAGACCTTCATGGAGCTATGAAATAGAAGAAAAAGCACACAATGTAAATCAACAGTGACAAAGTTTCCCTCTTCCCTTTTCATGTTTTAATCCCATCTCATGACATAAAACTTGCTAAATGAGCCATGGGCAAACAGCTCTTGGGCTTCAGCCAAGTGGAATCAGCAGAAATGCTTCAGAGATAATCAAATTGATTCATTCTCTCATTTTGCTCCTCTGCCACAATCAGTAATCAGCACAGAATTGCCTACTGGGAGGAGGTGGGAAGGCCTGAGGCAACTGGAAGAAATTGAACCAAGCTTTTGGGAGTAGGCCAAGTGAACAAATCATACAGGGAGTAGAAATGTTCCCAGTGAGCAAGCTGAGCTTCAACAATGAATGTTCCTGAATGGGCTGATGGTGTTATAACCACGGACCATCGCACCAGATCATCGATGGATACACAAAGCTTTAATTCCAACATAAACAGGAACTACTGCAGCCAAATAAATGACTGTGAATGTAAATTCAAGGACAGAAAGACCCTGAAATATCACACCTGATGAGATGTCAAGTAAACCTTAAAGGGATGGACTGAATTGCACTACAATCTGAAAAGTAATCTCCTGGGAATTAACTCAGACTGTGAACATGACAGCAGAAAAGACAACAGTGTTAGAAAAAGACATGCTTTGTATATTCCCTTTTTCAAGAGTGTGCAAGAATAGAGGATAAATGTGAATTTAACCATATAGTATGTGCGCTGGTAGAAGGAGGTGTACTAGTGAGCTAATGTGCTCATGTGTACGAGCATGGGTTCAAGCACAAGTTTGTGTAGTGACAGTCACAGTTGAAGGACTACCAACTAGTCACCCCTGCATTGTAGATGAATGCCTATCTACTGAGTACTAGAAGCCAACTAGCCAGTCAAGAGGAATCAGGACAAATGCAACTCATTCAACCAGCAAAGCCAAGGAACCAGAGATCAACTGTTTAACTATCTACTACACTCAGCATTCCACAGTCTACTTTTCACAAACAACCTACAGGGACTGATCTGTACACTTTTAAACTTCTATTTTTTTTTAAATTGATTTCTAGTCTATATGTATGTGTTACAGTATTATTAATTACTAAATGCAAGGGAATGTAAGCTCAGCTTTTTGTTAACTCAAGTAAGCCTGGTCAAATTGGCTCCTTTTAAATTTGATCTGGGAGAAAGGGGAGGGGATTCTTGCTAAACTAATCTTGTTGCAACCAACCAAGGGAGCAGGTGAATAAAGCAGGGGAGCTTGTGCGTCTCTCCTCATCCAAGAGCCTCACAATTTGCCATATTCCATCTGGAAATGTAAGGGTCTGATTGTAACACTGATGTTTCCAGAGTTGAATGAGCTCTTTTGGAATATACCTCTAGAATCTCTTACCCTGAGTCCTTGGCAATGGCACATTTAGCTACACAACACAGCTAGGCTGTTACGGGGAACAGGTCACATGGAGTGATCAGTTGGCCATGTTACAAACTGCAGGGGATCCACTAATCTAGTGATAATAACCAAATTTTCCTTTTTATAGTCCTTCATTGAAATAGCCAGAAAAAGTTAACCTTGCCTTCATTCTCACCGTACCTGCTGCGATTCCAGTATGCTTTCTTCTCATTTCAGACTTCCGCCATTTGCAATATTTTCCTTTCTGATTTCTACTTATGGTCACTTGGCATATCAAATGGAAATTACCTATCACTATACCACTACAGGTAGAAGCAATACTGCAGCACTTTTCCCCTCAGTTTAACATGGGAATTCCCAATACAATGTTACATGCCTGCACAGCAATTGAAATATCGAAAAACAAAAGGAAAGGTGAGGATAGTTTGACCTACTGTGAAGGAAACGCACCTTTAGTGTTTTAGCCTTTGAAGGCTGCACAGCGTCTATTCCAATGCTGAAGTAAGCAGACTTCTGGAAATGTTTTTTTCCAATAACTGATTGAAACCAAATTGACAACAACACATCCATTTCCTCATTCTGCAGCATTTTACACCATCTACTCAGCTTGGCTAAGACCGGGAAGAGCATGACCAAGACTGCTTTGTACCAAAATTCACTGATCCTCCAGGAATGGAGGGACAACAGGAATTTGTCCAGGAACACTGGACATCCATGGATGAATGATACAATCCATGGTATACATATTATATTTCCAAAAGGTATAATGTGCCCAGTACTGACCCACTTCCAAAAATAAATTACAGGAACAGGGGAAGGCCATTCAGCTGCTCATACTTGCTCCATTCAATGGTAGATCTTCATCCCAATTTCATTGGTCCACCTTGGCTCCATATCCTTCAAAATCCTTGCTTAGCAGACTAACATCCATTTGTTGAGCAGCATGCATTTTTCAGAGATTTATAAGGGTTTTATTGTAAATTTGCAATTTAGCACAAAGATTAGTTTCGACCTTTCCCTTCTGGATGCTTTCCCTGTCCAGAACCCAACCTCCCACTGGAGAAGAAACCAACTCTTCAATACACAGGCATCACCTGCCCTCAGTCAACTTTGGAGCTATGCTTGTTTACCATTAAAGGTATCTACATGTCCAGCTCTAACAACAAAGTCTAGCAAGAACTAACTGAGCTCTTAACATAATTAATTGAGCTGGCATCAATATTCTTTGGGATAAAGTTTACGACACCTCTATCACCCTTTGGATGGTGAAGAACTGTTTCCTATATGCACTCCTGAATAGCCTGACTCATTTTAAGATTTAGTCCCCTTCTTTACAACTCCCTCAGCAAGTGAACCTCTTCCTCTCTATGTACCTAGGAATTCTTTTCAAAATCCTGAAGAGATGGAACAGAACAGTCATTTGACTTTGTTCCTGATTAAAACATCAAAGCTTGCTTACAACAGATCCTACAATAACTATACACTGTGGAAAGTTTACATACCTTTTTTGTGGGAAAAGTGCACAGCATAGTGGAGTGGCAAAAACCAAGCTGAAAAGAGAAATGAAACCTCGTGAACAATATTATTTTGAAGCTGCTGACGTGAACTGATTGACACACAACTTATTCCCAAGTTTCCATTAAAGCAGGATTTGAGAACTTTTGAGAAGGTTAAGGCTAAAGTAACCTGATGACAATAGCCTGCCAGTTTCCTCCAGTTGTCTCTAGTGCATTCTACAAAAGTTTAAATTATATAGCATCTTTCTCTTAGTAAAACATCTCAACGTGCTTATTAACAGGTTATACAACAAACTAAACTTGATGGTGAGTGACATAAAGGAGGGGATTTTACTGTTAAGCAGGTAGCCAGCCCAGCCCCCCTAAGCTGTCTCCTCTGTATTACACACAGGCAATAAAGCATCAGGCAGCCCATTCACTCTTAGTTCAATTGAGGTTGGTAAATAGCGAATTAAAGGTGAGGGAAGGAACTTTGACAGATCAGGTTACAAGACAGTAACTCTCCCTACCACTCTCCACAAACCTCGCTAAGGTGCAAAATCAATCCTTACCAGATGCTCTGGACTTACCTCGAAGTCCAATATCCATCGTTCTCCTTCACTGGGCCTCCTTAAAGTACAGTGACAGCTATTACTGTGTCCTGGAGTTACCAGGACTGCTCAGCTGCCAACCAACTGCTCAAGACTGCCGGGATTTTCTGTGCCTGAGAAGGGGAAGTCCCAATCTCACCTCAAGCCCCCACCTCATCCAATATATTCAGACCCACAACCACTTCCATCTGGAAGGACAAGGGCAGCTGATACTTAGGAAGACCACCACCTACAAGTTCCCTTCTGAGCCTCGCATCATTCTAACTTAGAAATATATCACGGTTCCTTCATTGTCACTGGGCCAAAATCCTGGAATTTCCTCCCTAAAGGCATTGAGGGTCAACCTACAGTGGTTCTAGAAGGTAGCTCACCACTACCTTCTCAGGTACAACTAGGGACAGGCATTAAATGCTGGCAAAGCCAGAGGCACTGAAACTGCATGATTAAATAAAAAAGAAACAGTGGGGCAAAGTGGTTTACAGTTAGCAGGATGACAACTGGCTTTTTGCCAACATGGCAGGGAGTAAGGAATGTGAACCCCTCCTGTAGAATTCATTCCAGGGAGATATGAGAACAGGTGATTAAAGCTTCGTCAAGGGATAGATTCAATGGAGCATCTTAAGAACAGAGAAGGGGGCAGAGGCATTTCGGAAGAGAATTCTAGAGATTAGTGCCCAGGCACTGGTGCCAATGGTGAAGCAGTGAAAATCAAGATTGCACAAGAGGCCAGAATTAGACAAAGTGTGGCTAAGTTAGGAAAGGGGTGAAGAGAAGTCTTAGATGGGCAATAATGTTTCAGATCTTTATGAGCTATGAAATTCATTAGAAAATTTATACTGGCAATGTAAACAGAGCTAAAAATAGCTACTACATGTATTCCTGAACTTCACAGGTGCAGAGTATCTGCAAGTAGTAAAGATGTCGAGATTTTTAATTCACTTGTGGGATGGGGAATTAGCAGCCTGGCCAGCATTTATTGCCCATCCCTAGTTGCCCTTGAGAAGGTAGTGGTGAGCTGCCTTCTTGAACCGCTGCAGTCCAGGTCATTCCTTTGCTGAGAGTTCTCAGCACTTGACACAACTGTGTAGCTTCTTAGGCCACTTTAGGGGGCAGTTGACAGTCAGCCACATTGCTGTGGGTCTGGAGTCACACACAGGCCAGGCCAAATGAGGATGGCAGATTTCCTTCCCTAAAAGGACATTAGTATTTAAATACAGATTATTGTTAGGATTATCCTCAAAACTCGGCAACCACAGCTCAATGTTTCTTTATATTAACGTAGGTCACTTAGAGCTTACTAAATGAACAGTTTATTTCTTTACTGTGATGACCACAGAATGCTGATGGAACCTCAAAGAATTTATTTCTTTCCCTGGAAGGCGCCATAGCCTAAGAGTATCCTAGCTCTTTGTCTCTGTGGAAGTTAAAAATAAATCCATGCTGTGTCAATTGTATTGAATTCACATGGATTACACCAATAGATATTGGTGTTTTGATTTAGGATTTATCTACCAATTAGATATCGGCACTGAAACATACTGGAAATCCATGCCAAATCACCAGAAAAAAAAGATTGCACAAAAAGATTACGATCAGCTGTGATTCACGGTTGAATTGTCAGAGCTCATGAACCATACTCATACTTTAGGCAAACTTTGATATTTGAGTCAGAGTCTCCAGAAGTTGCCTCAGATCACTTGACTGCTAATTCTTAGATCAACTCCAAAATGTCATGCAAAAACAAATTACCTTTTTTTCATTTAACAAAACAAAGAGCTGCAGGTGCTGGAAATCTGAAACAAATTCAGAAATTGCTAGAGCAACTCCGGTCTGGCAACATCTGTGGAGAGAAAGCAGAGTTAATGTTGTGAGTCCAGCAATCCTTCTTCAAAGATGTTGGACTCAAAACGTTGACTCTGCATTTTTTCCCCCCACAGATGCTACCAGACAGCTATTGTCCAGCAATTTCTGTATTTGTTTACAGCTTTTGGTTACTTATAGTAAACATTTGGTGCAATATTCACAAACAAATCAAGAAATTTCTACACTCAATAATTTTTCTCTAAGCCCTGCAGTGTTGAGTACTACTCATGGAGGCAAGTCAGTCAAAGTATAGGTTACTACTAATTATAAATTGCTTGCATGAGTTATAATCAATTTGATGGCATGGATGAAGAAGTATGAGAATGGAAGAGTGTGGAGGATTGCAAGAACATGGAATGCTATACAATAAAAAGTGTTTGAAGTGTAATGTGAACAATGCTGGAAAGGAAATAATGCAAAATCCCCTCTAGGCCTAGTGGTATTATCCCTGGACTGTTAATCTAGGGACCCAGTCAATGTTCTGGGAACCTGGGTTCAAATCCCACCATGGCAGATGGTGGAATTTGAATTCAATAAATATCTGGAGTTGAGAGTCTAAGGATGAGCATGAACTTATTGCTGATTGTCGGAAAAACACATCTGGTTCACTAATGTTTAGGGAAGGAAACTACCATCCTTTATTGGTCTGACCTACCTTCCAGACACACAGCAATATGGTTGACTCTTAACTGCCCTCTGGGCAATTAGGGTTGGGCAATAAATGCTGCCTGGCCAACAATACCCTCATCCCATGAATGAATTAAAAAATAGGAAACATTCACACATGAGAAAGACAAGAAGATGGAACTCCGTAGATAACTCTCTCAAGGAGTTGGCACAGACAGGATGGGTCAAATGGTCACCCTATGGTCACCCTGTCTCTACAAATGTGATTTGCTCCGAGCTACAGTGGGACATTTTCCTAAATATTTGGACACTACTTGGGGACTACTTTTATCATCACCTAAAGGCAGTCTTTGATTTAAGAAATTCTGACTTACAAACAAGATCCCAAACAGGAGTGTATAATTAATATTAATGATCTGACATGCGAATGTGTGCTTATATTATGATCAGCTATTTTATATTGTACTGTATTGTGTTCCACTTTGTATACAAATCAATCTATGAATATTTCCAGGAAAATAACCCATGTGGAACCATGTGTACAATTTCCTTTTGGAGGGACAACACTGGCTTTGCGCAACAATATAACAGGGGAAATTTTAGGCAATGTTCATGTCACTGTCTGTGTGTTAATGTGTTAATCATGCAATTTATTGAGTGTTTATTGCATTGCTAATGATGGCAGCATAACATAAACATAACACAAATATTGACTGCAATGCACTAACAATTCAATAAAAATAGTTGACTGATTCAGTTGGCTTCAAGTGCATCACCAAACAGTCCTGTAATCCTGAGGGTATCATTTCTGCATTACCACCTTCCACAACTAATCAGAGGGCACAACTTCACCAGCTCAGCACTGGAAATTTAATTTGATATTAAATACCAAATTAAAATATTCACAATTAACTATCAGTAATTGCATGAAAATCACTCTAAAGAGGAAATTCAGAAGAAAAATTACTCTCAGGAATGGATTTAATAAAACGCCAATATCAGAGAATAGCATCCAGTAGGTACAGTGATAATTCTGAGTAGAAGAAATTTTATTAGATTTCACCTGCAGTGTGAATATTAGCTAAGAGGGCTCTGCATTGTAAATAGTGAAGCAGGTGGTGCACTGTGCAATATTGATAACAAGTTTGTTAACATATTAATAGAAAAAGCCTTAATTCAATATTATAACAAATATCATCTTGCATTCATTAAAATAGCAGATGGGAAAGTTATCACTCTATGATATCAACTACAATGGTCTTTTGCAGTAGAGATTCTACAGTCAGTTTTTTTTATTTCAAACTGATATCATATACTTACTTATAGTGTTTCCATTTACTTATAAATTAGGTGTTGCAACAGAAAAGCAACCAGCTAAAACTAAGCACATATTCATAATTCTGATCCCTATTATAGCCTGGTAACTAAAAATCCTTACAGAAGCTTTTTCTGGGCAACATATGGATAATTCAAAGATTGCTTTTGCGTTTAATTGAGGCCAAAGCATGAATATTTTCAAGGAAGAGTTCGATATAGGGTTAAAGGGATCAAAGGGTATGGGGAGAAAGGGGGAAAAGGTCATCGACCATGATCATATTTAACGATGGAGCAGTCCTGAAGGGTTTGAGCCACAGTGTTGGAGGGTTTGAGCTGTAGTGAATAGGCTGGGGTCATTCTCCCTGGAGCATTGGAGGCTGAGGAGTGACCTTAAAGAGGTTTATAAAATCATGAGGGGCATGGATAGGGTGATAGCCAAGATCTTTTTCCAGGGGTAAGGGATCCAAAACTAGTGGGCATGGGTTTAAGGTGAGAGGGCAAAGTTTTAAAACGGACCTAAGGGGCAACGTTTCTACGCAGAGGGTGGTGCGTGTTTGGAACGAGCCGCCTGAGGAAGTGGTGGAGGCTGGTACAATTACAACATTTAAAAAGGCATCTGGATGGGTAGATGATTATGAAGGGTTTAAGAGGGATATGGGGCAAATGCTGGAAAATGGAACTAGATTAATTTAGGATATCTGGTCAGCAAGGACAAGTTGGACCGAAAGGTCTGTTTCCATACTGTATATCTCAATGACTCTATCAAAGGCTGAATGGTGTAATCCTGCTCCTATTTTCTTTGTTTCCATGTTTGATCGAACAAGTACTTATTATCAGCTCATAAATTTACAGAAAAAGCCCAACTGGGCCTTTTTGTCTTTTCTGAGTTTCTGATAGAGCCAGCCAAAGCTAGTCTCATTACCCTGATTTCTTATATACCCTTTATTGCTTATAGCAAACAATTTATATGTGAACAATTAGATTACCAAACATCAACATTTCTAAACTGAAAATGATTCATTAGGAATTCAGCTCACCTGAGGCCCACTAGGCCAACTTGAATAGGAGCATTGAAAAATGGGAAACGCTGGGGAAAAAAATAAGTACAAATACATCACATTTGCCACTGGAATTAAATTCAGTCTTCACCACTTCAGAAAAACCTCAAACAAAACATTAATTATGTTCAGTATCACTAGCACAAGTACCATTAGGAGAGAGGGAGAGATGTAACAGACTTGTGTGGGGTGAAAAAATAACCTGCGAGTTTGGTGAAAACACATGTAAAGACAGATGATAAGTGCCCTAGGACATGTTTAGCTAATATGATCATTAGGGGGATAAAATGTACCACAGACAAGTTGAAGCTCAGCAATATTTTATTGCAGCTACCAATTCTTGAACTGCTGGAGCTTTAACCGTGTATTTGGAACTGGATTTTAACAAATGAAAAATTAGAAACAGCAGTGTCGAACAGTATAAAAGCCTGCAGGAAACCAATCGACTAATTTGGCAGCTCACGGGATGTGTTTCTTTCACCTTTTTGCTACCACAATGCATTCAATAAATTCAATCCTATTTGAAAAAAGAAGTTTCACTTGCCATTTACATGTAATTGAAAACCTTACCTTTAAAAACGCTCGCTTTTCCAAAGCATTCATAATAACTGGAGGTATTGCTGCAAGTTAGAACACAGGATTATTTACAGGCAATGCATGGAACTGAAATCACTGTACATTTAAACTAAACATTTATTCAGTTATTGAAACCAGATGTTAAGGTATTTGGAAGGCCCTCCTGTATATTCACTTGTTATTTATTGGGCTAAATGCTTCATTAGAAAATGTTTCTATTAGAACACTAGGATCATATAATCTCAAAATTAACTGTTTAGCCATTGCTTTACCTTTGTACTAATCTAAGAGACTGTCACAGACCTTGCAGGCATAAGTGGGGTAAAATGGTGTGTGGTGGTAATTAATGGAATAGTAATGCTCAAGGCACAAGATCAAACCCAAACATGACATCTGGTGGCAGGACACCCAATGATGAAGGTCAAGTGGTGGTCTGTTCAAGGTCTTCAAGATATTAACAGGAAAAGACAGGGTAGATAAAAATAAACTATTTCCACTGGTTGGAGATTGTAGAACTGGGGGACATAGTCTGAGAATTAGAGCCAGACCATTCAGCAGAGATATTAGGAAGCACTTCTACACACAAAAAGAATGGTGGAACTCTCTTCTGAATGGTAGACTGATTAGTAAAGCTAGGTCACATGAGATTAAGGGAAAGCTTGCCAATTAGATACAAAATGGGCTTGATGGTAGGAGACAGAGGGTGGTGGTGGAGGGTTGTTTTAGAGGACGGTGACAGCAGTGTTCCGCAGTGATTGGTGCTGGATCCACTTTTGTTTGTCATTTATATAAACGATTTGGATGAGAATTTAGGAGGTATGATTAATAAGTTTGCAGATGACACCAAAACAGGTGGTATAGTGGACAGTGAAGAAGGTTATCTAAGATTACAAAGGGGTCTCGATCAATTGGGCCAATGGACTGAAGAGTGGCAGATGAAGTTTAATTTGATTAAATGCAAGGTATTGCATTTTGGTAAAGCGAACAACAACAGGACTTATACAGTTAATGGTGCGGTTCTGGGTGGTGTTGTCAAACAGAGAGACCTTGCAGTTCAGGTACATAGTTCTTTGAATGTTGCATCACAGGTGGACAGGGTGGCTAGGAAGGCATTTAGCACACTTGTCTTCATTGCTCAAATCATTGGGTATAGGAGTTGAGATGTTACGTTGAGGATATATGGGACGTTCATGAGGCCACTTTTGGAATACTGCATACAATTCGGGTCACCCTGCCATAGGAAGAATACTATTAAATTGGAGAGGGTTCAGAAAATATTTACAAGAATGTTACCAGGACTGGAGGTTTTGAGTTATAAGGATAGGCTGGGATTGTTTTCACTGGAGCACAGGTGGTTGAGGGGTGACCTTAAAAAGGTTTATAAAATCATGAGGGGCATAGATAAGGCAAAGGTCTTCTCCCCAAGATAGGGGAGTTCAAAACTATTGGTTTTAATGGAAGGTAGGTCAATGGTTGTACTACCTGTGAAGTCCAGATCATCAAATCAGCAATTTGTTATGTAACTTAGTCAATGTCATCATTCTTACAGAAGTGTTTTGGAATACATTTAACATCTTTCATCGTGAGAGTTGGTTTTGATAATTGCGAATTAGTAAAATCTAAACTTTAGTGGGTTCTTTGGAGGCTGTATTTGGACTTGCGAAGGAGTTGTGGTGCTAAAGATTAGCAAATGATACACTGTCTTCAAATGTGGCCTTTCCATAGAACCATAGAAAATAAGAGCAAAGGTAGGTCATTTGGCCCTTTGAGCCTGCTCCGCTATTCATTACAATCATAGTTGATCATCCAACTCACTGGCCTGTTCCCATTTTTTAACATATCCTTTGATCCCTTAAGGCCCATTGACACAGCATGGTGGCTCAGTGGTTAGCACTGCTGCCTCACAGCACCAGGGAGCCAGGTTCAAATCCACCCTCAGGTGACTGTCTGTGTGGAGTTTGCACATTCTTCCCGTGTCTGTGTGGGTTTCCTCCAGGCGCTCCAATTTCCTCAAACAGTCGAAAGGCATGCAGGTTACGGTAGACTGGCCACGCTACATTGCCCGTAGTGTCTAGAGATGTGCAGTCTAGGTGAATTAGCCATGGGGAAATATAGGGAGTGGATCTGAGCAAAATGCTCCTCTGAGGGTTGGTGTGGACCCAATGGGCTGAATGGCTTGCTTTCACACTGGAGGGGTTCTCTGAGGAAGGGGAAACCTAATTTCACTGATGTCAAGTCAACAAGTGAGGTGTTTAAGTTTGAGACAATGGTCAAAGGGAGTATTTTTGTAGCAGGTTATTAGCCAATGAAAAGCCCTATCAAAAAGCAGTGATGGAAGCAAAATCATCTTTTAAAGGGGAATTTAAAAAAGCAATTGAAAAAGAACTTCAGAAAAGGATGTATGAAAATAGTTTAAGGAGTCAGGTCTTATATCTTCAACGAACCAAGGACCCAGGTTCAATTCCACCCTCGGGCGACTGTCTGTGTGGAGCTTGCACATTCTCCCCATGTCTGCGTGGGTTTCTTCCAGGTGCTCCGGTTTCCTCCCACAGTCCAAAGATGTGCAGGCTAGGTGGACTGGCTGTGCTAAATTGCCCATAGCGTCCAGGGATGTGCAGGCTAGGCGGATTAATCATGGGAACTGCAGGGTTGCAGGGATAGGATGGCCTTTGGAGGATCGGTGTGGACTTGTTGGGCCAATGCTTCCACACTGTAGGGATTCTATGAATTGCCATATCTAACTTTTTCTTGAAGTTATAGAATATATTATAAATAGATGTTAACTTTGGAAAAGCTGCAATGAATCTCTAGGTTCAATTTGAACAAATTGGAATCCTTTACAAAATATTTATGGGCTCACTGAGTATAAATACAGATAGCATTCAGATACTGAGAAAAACCTCCTGACATTTGCAAGGAAGACTACAGGCTCTTTTCCTTCACATGTAAATAAATGACTTTCAAAATAGGGCAGTCAAGTTCTCCTGCTCTTATAAAAAATGACTGATGCATAAAAGAGATAATGAATGGACCAGGTTTTGGCGTTAATTCTACCTTGATTATATTAACAGTATCAGAACAAGATGATGCAGATGCCTCTATTTACGATAATTTCGAGTAGATGAGCACAGATGAAAAGAAATTAGAGTGTGTCACTGGGCTGTATTAAGGTTGAATGACTCACGAGAAGTAATCACAAACAGTACTCTATCTTGGTCTAGATTTACTTGCATACATTACAAAGATATATTTTGATGACTGTGATATGAAACCCATACAAGTTCAACTATTTTTGAATAGTAAATGGAGATTTTTTTCAACTTTTCATGCTACAGAAAGTTTTTAAATGGATAACCTATCCATGTCATAAAAACTTTAAAATCTAAAGAAAAAATATTGTTTGGCCAAACCCCTTTCTATCTTCTCAGTTGAGATTAGACACTCTGCAGAGGGCTTGGTTGAATTTTGGCAGTGGCATTCTGGGTTGATCAGTAGGAGACCTGTCAGTATGCCAACACAAATGGCATCCACAAACAGAATTAAACTCACTGCTGCCAGGATTGTGGTCACAGGAAATGGAAAAAGAAAAAGAAAATCACTAGAATAGCAGGAACCACAGGAAACTACAAGTACATTGCTGGAGCAGAATGAAGACAGATTTACTCTGTATCCGGTCATATGATCCATAAAGCAAGTGCTTTATACAGCCACTCATTAATCAAAACAAAGAACCACTCAGTTCCTGCTCATGGCAAGAGTATGCACTACAAAGTATTTTGCAGTGGGATAGAGGGGGCTAGATCTCCATTTGACAGCTAAAGTACTTTTGCTGGCTCCATGCCAAGGCAGTGCTGCAAGTCAAAGTGGTTCAGGGGTCCTGAATCTGCCAAGGTGCAAATCAGACCAGAGGGGCCCTCTTGTGATGCAGTGGTAGAGTCTCTACCCCTGGACTGAGAGATCTAGATCAAGACCCACCTGCTCCAGAAGTATGTAATAACATATCTGAACAGGTTGAATAGACAAATATGTTAAGTAACTTTTTTTAAAAAATTAGCAATAAGCAGATTCACAGAAGGGATCATCAACAATGCAAAAATAAATCATACAGAGGTTTGGGAGCCCCCTTGTGGTGTAGTGGCAGTGTTCCTACCCCTGGACCAAGGGACCCAGGTTCAAGTCCCACCTGCTCCAAAGGTGTGTAATCACATCTCTGGTCATATCGATTAGAAAAATAGGTTCATTAAAAAAAAAAACACAAAGACCAGAGATCCATTTAGGGTGGCATGGTGGCTCAGTGCTGAGCACAGCTGCCTCACCAGCATCAGGGAACCGGGTTCGATTCCAGCCTTGGGCGACTGTCTGTGTGGAGTTTGCATATTCTCCCCTTGTCTGTCTGGGTTTCCTCCCGCAGTCCAGGGACGTGCAGGCCAGGTGCGTTAACCATGTGAAATGCAGGGTTATAGAGGTGGGGGTCTGAGTGGGATCCTCTTCAGAGGGTTAGTGTAGACTCGATGGGCTGAACGGCCAGCTTCTACACTGTAGGGTTTCTATGATTCTACCAGAGAGGGCCCTCTTGTGGTGCACTAGTAAAGAGACCCGAGTTCAAGTCCCACCTGCTCCACATCTGTGAACAGGTTAATTAGAAAAATAGGTAAAAAGACCAGGGTAGAGCCCATTTCCTATGCAAATTCTGAGCATAACGTCAGTGTCAGGCTCTTTTCCTGTATTGGTACACAGCTGGTAACTTGCCTGCTGCAGTCAATTTGCCAGCAGTGTAAAGCAGTGTTACTCACAGAGGGAGACTGCATCAAAAAGATGAAAAAGAATGCATGATTTAACTCCATACAGGGCAATGGAGCTACCAGGGAGAAAGTACTCCTCCCCAAAATTTACACCTGCTCAGGAATAAATCCTACAAGCTAAGCATCAATTTTTCAATGTAAAGGAAGAACAATAACCCTTACAATTGGGTCCCAACGTACCCATTGCAGGTACTGCCATACCAATCCGAGAGACTACCACCTGGGCAATGGCCTGTTGTGCTGCCTTTTGCGATTCCCCAAGTCGATTCCCATTGATATCTGCAACTGGAATCCCAAACTTAAGTTCCCTGCAAATGAAAGAAATCATAAAATAATTAGGTGCAAGATTCTAAGTACAATGAGGTAGCACAAATCTATATTTACTATGTGTAAGCAACAGCAAAGCACAGTGTCACATAAACATACTGACCTAAAAGCTGTCAGAAATCATTCACTGAAGACAAATTCTTATTCAAATATTGGCAAATTTACACTTCAAAGTTTGATACTGGCTAACTCACCTCACAAGATGACCCCAAATGAAAGAAAAAGACTTGCAATTATATAGCACCTTCCACAACCTCAGAACACTTTGCAGCCAAGGGTGCACCTGGAGGTGTAGTTGCTGTTGCATTGTAGAAAATATGGCAGCCAACAAGACAAAATATCACCAGATAATTAGTTTATGCAGTTGGTTGAAAGACAAATGTTTGCCAGCTGAGTTCCCCAGCTCTTGTTCAAATGCTGTTGTTGAATCTTTACCTCCATCTGTGTAAATAGCTTGGACCTTGGTTTAAGGCCTCATGTGCAGGACAGCATCTACTACCCCATTATCTTATTACTCCTCCAAGCTGTCAGCTCAGATCACGTACACAAGTCTTTGGAGTGAGGCTTACACAATGACTCAGGTACTACTGCTGAGACAGAATTGCTAACAGCATCATAAGCCCAAATCACCAGAACTATCAGTAACACTCTCCGTACAAAAAAATTCAAAATTTCTACAAACATTTTGCTGATTAAAAATATAAACTTGGGAGTAACAAAGTACAGAGTTAAGCTCATTATAGAACTGAATTAACACTAGCCAAAGGGCAGTAATTACCTCTAACATGGAAGACATCAGTGAACAAGATGGGTTTTTCTGACAATTGGCAATGGCTTCAGAATTGCACATTAAGTTCCAACGTGATATGGTTCATTCTGAATCTAAAGTCTTAAATCTAAATGGTCTCCTATAGAAAATACATTCTTCTAATGCACAAACACCCAATGGGAAAGATTGAATTAATCTTGCTTGTTACTTGTAACATAGATAAAGGAGAACCATTGGACGTGATGAGTTTGGATTTTAAGGTGGCTTTTTTAAAAAAGTCCCACGTGGGTTAATAAATAAAATGAGAGCAAATGGGTTTTTTTGTAATTTATTCATTGGTAGGATGTGGGTGTCACTGGCTAGCCAACATTTATTGCCCATCCCTAGTTACCCTTGAGAAGATGGTGGTGAGCTGCCTTCTTGAAGACTGCAGTCAACCTGCCACAATGCCATTGGGAGGGAATTCCAGGATTTTGACTCCGTGACAGAGAAGGAACAACAATATATTTCCAAGTCAGGATGGTGAGTGGCTTGGAGGGGGACTTGAAGGTGATGATGTTCCCATATATCCGGTTCCCTTATCTTTCTACATAGAAGTGGTTATGGGTTCAGGGATAACATAAATGTGGACTGAGAATTTATTAATAAACAGAAAGCAGATAGTGGAACTAAATGGGTCATTCTTAGGCAGATAGGCTGTTACTACTGGGATTGCACAAGTATCAGAGCTTGGACCACAGATGTTAGTAATCTATATAAATGACTGGATGTGGGAACTAGTTGTAACATTTCTAAATTTGCTGATAATACAAAACTGGTTGGGAATGTAAGTTATAGGAAGATGCAAGGCAGTTTCAGAGAGACTTGGACAGGCTAAGTGAATAAGCATGAACATTGGAATGTGACATGATTAAACGTGAAGTTAACAACTTTGGTAGACAAAACAAAAACATAAGAGTATTTCTTGAATGGTGACAGGTTGGGAAGTATTGCTGTCCAAAGGGACCTGAATGTCGTTGTTCATCAGTGTCTAAAAGCTAGCATGCAGATGTAACAATCAATAAAGAAGGCAAACAGATGTAGGTCTTCATTTCAAGGGGATTTGAGAACAGGAGTAACAATGTCTTGCTGCAGCTGTACAGAGCCTTGATGAGACTACAACTGGTGTAATGTGTATCATTTTGGTCTCTTTATCTAAGACAGGATAAACCTACCATAACAAGAGTGCAATGGACGATCACCAGATTAATCTCTTTTCATAAAACAATCCCAGAAATTAAGGAGTCTGGGCCTGTAATCTCTAGAGTTTTTTAACAATATGTGGTGATCTCATTGAAATTTGCAACATTTTTATAGGACATGACAGCGTGGATGTCAATAGGGATGTTTCCCCTGGTTGGTGAGCCTAGAAGCAGCAGACATAATCTCAAAATGAGCATTGGCAATTTAAGACTGAGTTGAGGAGGAATTTTTTCCACTCAAACGGTGGTAACTCTTTGGATTTTCTACCCAGAGGGCTGTACACGTTCAATTGTTCAGCATCTTCAAGACAGAAAATATTTCTAGAGAAAAAGGGACATTAAGGGATTTGGAGATAGCACAGGAAAATAGCGTTGAAGTTGACAATCAACCATGATCTAACTGAAAGGTTATGCAAGCTTCACAGGCTGGATGGCCTACTCCTTTCTCGAAATTAATTTCTAGGATTAGTAACATGAGACTAAATTAATAGTCACATGAACAAATGCAATCTAATTAAAGAAAGCCAGTATGGATCTGTTAAGGGAAACTCATGACTACACAACTTGCCACAGCTTTCGATGCAGAAGCAGGAAGGGTTCGTGAAGGCAGTGTTGATGTGGTAAACATGGACTTCAAAAGACACCTGATATAATACTGCATAACAGACTGTGAGCAAAGTTACAGATCAGAGAATAAAACCAACACAGGTATGAAATTGGCTGAATGACAGGAAACAGAAACTAGTGGTTAATCGATGTTTTTTAAACTGGAGGAATGTTCATAATGGAGTTATCCAGGGGTTGTTGTTGGAACATTTGCTCTTCTTTCTATACATTAATGTCCTATATCCGGCATACAAGGCACAACGTAAAATGTGTGGAAGATACTAAACTTGGAAGTATTGTGAACTACCCAGAAGGATAGTACAGAACTTCAAAAGGACGTAGGCAAGTTTGTGGAATAAATGGAAAGTTAACAGACAAAAAGTCAACGTAGAGAACTGTGAATTTCTATGACGAACATGGAGAGACAATTTGAAACAAAAGGATGCAACTCTAAAAGGAATAGAGCGGGCTGGGTGCATAAGCCATTGAAGGTGCTAGGGCGTGGTGAGAAGGCAGTTAATAAAGCATACTGTATTATAGAGTCACATAGCATGGAAACAGACCGTTCGGTCCAACTCATCCTTGCTGACCAGTTTTCCCAAACTAAACTAGGCCCATTTGCCCAAGTTTGGTCCTTTTCCCTCCAAAAGGTGGCTCACCAACATCCTGTACAACCACAAATGACAACCCAACTCCTATACTCAATGATCTGTGCAACGAAGGCATGCGTGCCAATTGCCTTCTTTACAACCGTCTACCTGAGATGCAACTTTCAATTAACAAAGTACCTGAACCCCCTGTTCTCTCTGTTCAACAGCACTTGCCAACGCCCTGCCATTAATTGTATAAGTCCTGTGCTTGTTCATCTCACCAAAATGCAATACCTCACACTTATCTGAATTAAACTCCATCTGCCACTCCTCTTCTAGGCTCTCTCTCAAATATGCAGAGATGACAAGACAAGAACTACAACAAAGACCACAGAGATCTTCAGCATGAAAAAGACCCTTTGGCCCACTGTGTCCATGCCAGTCAAAAACAACCCCTCACTATTCTAATCCCATTTCCCATCACTTGGCCAATAGCCTTGTATACCTTGGCATCACAAGTGCACATCTAAATACTTCTTAAATATTAGAGGGTTTCTACCTCTACCACCCTTACAGGCAGTGAGCTCCAGATTCCCACCAGCCTCTAGGTGAAAACATTTCTCTTCACATCTCCTCTAAACCTTCTGTCTTTTGCCTTAAATGTACCTCCCTTGATCCCTCTATCACAGAGAAAAGTCTCTTCCAGTGTAATCTGTGCCCCTCATAATTATATACATATCAATCATGACTTCTTTCAGTCTCCTCTACTCTAAGGAAAATAAACCCTGTCTGTCCAATCTCTCTTCTTAACAGGCCCTCCAGCCCAGGCAACATCCTGGTAAATCTCCTCTGTACCCTTTTCACTACTATAACATCCATCCTACAAAGTGGATTCCAGAACCACACACAATACTCTAGTTTTGCCCTAACCAACATTTTGCACTAAATCCTAATCTTTATTTAAAGGAGTATAGAGTAAAAAGCAAGAGGTGATGTTTAACTTGTATAATGTATTCATTTAGCCTCAGATATAGTATCACATTCAGTTCTGGGCACCGCAATTTAGGAAAGATGTGAAGGTACTGGAAAGTGTAAATAAATGATTCAGAAGGATCATTCCATAAATGAGGACTCTGATCTAAGAAGATAGATTGGAAGAGTAAGGTCTGTTTTCCTTGGAGAAAAGAAAGCTGAAAGGAGGTTTTATTGAAGCATTAAATATCATGAGGGGCCTAGAAAGGATAGATAGGGAGAAACTTCAGCCACTCATGAACGAATCAAGAACAAGAGGGTCTGGATTTGTTGTAATTGTCAAAAGTAGCAAAAATTACATGAAGAAAAATATGTTCACACAGGGTGTGGTTAAGTTCTCAAATGGACTGCCTGTGATTGTGATGAAGGAAGGTTCAAACACGCCATCCGAAAGGAGCGTAGGCAGGGTTACGAGGTGGAGGAATGGCACTCGGTAAATTGCTCAGACAGCCGGCACAAACTTGATGGGCTGAATGGTTTCTTTGTGCTGTGACAATTCTGTCACCTATGGGATACTGCACATTGTGATTGAAAGTAATTTAAGCTATTGAGATAAATAATAATAATATGTAATTTTTTCTTGTGCTGTAAGATATCCAAATAACAACATTAGGTTCTAATTTTAAGAATAATTTTTATCTCCTTAAAATATTCTGAATTGCGGCAATTTTGTATTAGAAATTTGAGTATAAACAGAGATCTGTTTTTATATCATCAAGTAATCTTCACCATTTTTAACTAAGAAGTTGACCAAGTATTAAATTGTATCTAAGTGATGATAGATGCCGTTTTAGACTCTTAATCGCTACTTGTTCTGGTTTTTCCTCAGTGCTTGATTAGCAAAGAACTGTCTCTTGCTCCAGCCTGCAGCTCTTACAGAGTCAGAGTACAGCCATTTCTTCATTTAGATAATTTCAGAACTTCTAAACATTTTCAATGTTTTCTGATTTTGCATCAGATTTCCAGCATTTTCAGTGTCTTCCCCATCAGCCCACTTTCTAGCACTTTGTCACTACCTGCATTTTGTGGTGATCTTACCTCTGCCGCATGAGAGGGATATTGATACAGTTGGCAGCAGCTACTGCAGCAAAGGGCACAAAACGTGCAATCAGAGAGGGCAAATGCTTCAGAAAAGAAGGAAGAAAGGAACATCATTAATCTTTAATGGATCACTAACTATGGTAAATCAAATCTGGAAGCTTCAATTACAAGAAACTTATGATCATTCAGTATGTTCTTCAAGGAGGAATCTCCTGGGAGTCTTTGGTCTGCATCTCTTATCCTCACTCTGCTCCAACCAAGTTACAATCATAGCGTCATATATTAGATAAGGACTGAATTTGGCACTTTGTGCCTCTGCTCACTCTTTGAAAGATTAACCAATTATTCCCAACTGTCTGCTCTTTTCCCATTGGATTCCACATGTTTTCCTTTCATTTACATATCCAATTCACTTTCGGAGTTAGCACCAAATTTTCAACAGTAGATTCCTGATCATCAAAACCTGCTGCACAAAACACACTCATCTTCCCCCAGCTTTTACATCAATTATCTTTATATTCTCTGAATAGTGTCTCCACTGCCAATGGAAATAGCTTATATGCTCCATCAAACACTTCATAAATGCTGAATATCTCCATTAAATATCCCCTTAAATACCCCTCAATCTTTAAAATAAAAACAGTCTCTACAAGCCTGAACTTCCTTATCCCCGCAACTATTCTCGTAAATATCTTCTTCTCCACTTTCTCCATAGCATTGACATCTCTAAAATTATAATTTATAGGTGCTGAATGGTAATCAACAGTTGAAGAGCACGAAACACTTACACCCATCACTGATTTTAGCTGCCAAAGCAACTGAAAGAAGACTTTGCATCTTCACACCATTGTAACAAAAGGTCTTGTTAAAAACCTCACAAAGATCTAGAAAACCTACAGACACTATAAAACGTCAATAATAGCCAAATGGTTGAAAGGGAGGATCAAAACTGTAATTTGTCAATGGACTGGTCAAGTGTGTCAAGTTGGAAAATGGAAATCAACCCAGAGTAATGACAGGTGACATATTTGGGGAGGTCAAATAGGGTCAAGGAATACACAATTAATGGAAGAATACTGAGAGGTGCAGAGGAAGTGAAAAGCATTGGATTAAATATCCACAGATTGCTGAAGGTAGCAGAACAATTGATAAGTTGGTTAAGGTGGCATATGGGACACTTTCATTTATTAGCTGAGATACAACAGCAAGGAGGTTATACCAAAATAATATAAGTCATTGGTTAGGCCATAACTTGGGTACCAGTCACCTCAATACAGAAAGGATGTAATTGCGCAAGAAAAAAAAGTACAAAAAAGATTTATGAGGAGCTGCAGGGCCTGGGAAATGCAACCATAAGGAAGCTGAAGGGAGGTTTCATCGAAATGTACAAAATTGTAAAGAGCCTGGACAAAATGGATGGGTAGGGCCTCTTTACCCTTACCCTTGCATGAGAATTAATGCATAGATTTAAAGTGATTGGTTGAAAGAGGGAGATGAGGAAAGAGATTTTCATCCAGAGGGTGGTGAAGGGCTGGAACTCACTTCCAGAGAAACATAGTAGATCATTTAAATGGTTTCAGGGTTTGTACCTCAAGTACAATAACCTTTTAGGCCACAGGCCAATGCTGGAAAGTAGGATTAGGCTAGGTGGCTCATGGTCTGTTTTGAATGCACCGTCTGAACAAAGTGGCCTCTTTCTGTGTCATCAAATTTCTATGACTCTTTTAGGAATAATGGCTAATGGTCTGACCTAATGACCAGTCTGTGTGCATAACTGTGGTACTACTGAATGGATTCCAAATGAATTACATCAGTCACATGCTTTGTCATTTTCTAGTATTTTTGTTTACGGCTTTTGCTTCTCTGTCTGTACTCTGTCATTTTGTCTGGCAAAAGCAGACTATTAATAAGCTGCTCCCAAAACACTGTCTGGATTGCTCCATAATTGTTTTCTCTATGCTTCAGTCTGACTGCCTCTCATTTCCAAACTTCTTTGCAAGAAAGTGTTCAGCCTCAATACAAAATATCTCAATATGACATAACTGACAAAAAGGAACTCTATGTATAATTTCATGTTCTACTATGCCACGTGCAGCACGCAAAATTCAACTAGTTGCATCATCGTATAACATAATTAAACTTCCCTAGTAATCCCAAAAATTGGAGTAATTAGTTTTTCCATTTAATTTCAAACTCTTTAACAAAATCACATCTCTCCACAGAAACCAAACTTCAAAAATGCACATTCCTATGATTGTGTTAGGTAATTATAGAGAAAAGTGATCTCTTTCTCTGTTTTCACCTAAAGGATTAATTTTAGTTTGATACAGGTAAACAACAAATATCAGACTTGTACTGGAATTGATAGCAAGTACATCTGTTTCAAAATACTGAATCTGTCCTGACCTGGGAGTGATTAAACTTAAAAGGTAAAATGAAGTCTCTGCCCCCTCTCATAACCAGCCATTAATGTTTCTGACCTATTTGCCAATGTGTATAAGACCATACTAACACTGCATCTTTCTCCTTTTTGAGGCTTGTTACTCAATTGGGTGCATGGAACAATTGCAAGGTGAAGTACTTTTTAAATCTATCAACCTACACACAGGGCTTAAAATAAATCAACATTAATGTTATTCGATGTATTGACAAGTTTTTACAAACCTTAAGTTGGCTTATCCGCACCAAACAATCTTATCAGTAATTGGTGTAACAGATTAGGTAACTGCAATGTTTGAACTTTTAGCTTTATTTCTTTATTTTTTGACATAACACTAAGAAGGACTGAAATGTTAACTTTTAACTTTGCTCCTTATTTCTTTCTACCTTGTTCTTAACTTTTCGTACCTAGGTATTTGTACCTAAGATGGTGCCGTGTGTGGCGATGTTGAAAACTTTTCATTGTACTTTTGTACTTGGATACACATGGCAATAAAGTCTAAATCTAATTTAATCTAACAGGGTCACACAAATGACTATTTGTGCTATTTTAATAATCATTGCCATATCATTTCTAACTATAAAAGCATTTCGTTTCAAGATGTGGGTGATGCTGACAAGACGGCAATGATTGCATGTTCTCAGTTAGCCCAAGATTTGCAGCAGACCTTGTGATATAATATCCCCATGGTTGTGCTGAGTTGCAACTTCTGATCCAATGATTATGAGGGACAGAGTCATTAGGTTATGCAAAAGTGGCAAGTAAAACATTAAAAAATGACATAGAACAAAATAATTATTAAAATGAAACATTAGCTAAATTTGCAAATAACATTAAAAGTTTTAAATCAATATATTAATAATGATTACCTTCGTGAGTGACTTTAGCCCAAGGGCTGTGACAACAGCACCTGTTGTTGCACTGACATATGCGGTACCCAGCTGGCTACAAAAGTCCATAGAAAAGTAAATATTTAGAATGAAGATAGAATAATTTAAACTTTTCAGACTTAGATAATATCAGATCAAGATCTATTTAAGTCGAGCTTGGTGTTTGGAATCAAGAGGTACATTTAACCAGTATACCATAGTCTCAAACCTGAACTTTAATTCAGTTCCCAGAATACAGAGTAGGTGCCTTTTCAGTTCTCCATAAACAGAGCAGCCAGAGCACAAAATCATCCAAATTCAGTCCTAACAAGCAACTTTAGCATGAGATGCCGTAACTATGCATAAATTAGAAACTGTCACAGAATCATAAAACTCCTCCAGCATGGAAGCAGGCCATTTCAGCCCATGCCAACCCTCCAAAGGGCACCCCATCCAGCCCCACCTCCTACCCTATCCCTATAACCCTGCATTCCCATGGCTAGTCCACCTAGCCTGCACATCCCTGGACATTATGGACAATTTAGCATGGCCAACCCATCTAACTTGCACATCTTTGGACTTTGGGAGGAAACTGGAGCACCCAGAGCAAACCCATGCAGAGATAGGGAGAATGTGCAAACTCCACACAGACAGTCACCCGAGGTTGGAATCGAACCCGGGTCCCTGGCACCAAGAGACAGCAGCGCTAACCACTGAACCATCATGCTACCTTCTGAGCCCGTGTCCTTTGTAGATTTAATGGTAAAAGGGTAGTATTAGTATGGATGGGTTTAACTCCTCATGTAATCTGCTCACTTGAACTTGGCAGTGCACAGATCTTTAAGGATTTTGTTTCCTGTCCAGTCCCTTTTCAAAAATCTAAATTGATGGTGTTTCTGCAAGTTATTTTCTCTAATTTGCACCATTCCTGCCATATCTTGTTTTCAGCGGCAGCAGCGCAAGCCAGAGTGCCGAGGAAGGTAAGGGGGTTTTTTTTCTCCCTGTATAAAAACTTACCTCGTGCAGCAAGCAGCCCTCTTGTTTTCAGCGGCGGGTGTGTGGAGGGAACATGAGCCAGGAAGAAACAGATAAATTCGGGCATTGGCTAAACGCGAAACGCTACTCGTGTAGTATCTCCCACCCGTCCTCCTCCTCTAACCAAAAAGACTGTGTGGAGGTTCGGTAAGGTAAGGCCTTTTTTTTTTATTCTTCTTCTGGAAATCTAGAGTAGAGGGAATGGAAGCTAGGGCAGTTGCATGCTCCTCTTGCAGGATGTGGGAGGTAAGGGTCACTGCTGGTGTCCCCTCTGACTTCATCTGCGAGAAGTGCACCCAACTCCAGCTCCTCAAAAACCGTGTGAGGGAACTGGAGCTGGAGCTGGATGAACTCCGGATCATTCGGGAGGCTGAGGGGGTGATAGAGAGGAGTTACAGGGAGGTGGTCACACCCAAGATACAGGAAAAAGGTAGCTGGGTGACTGTCAGGAAGGGGAAAGGAATAGGCAGACAGTGCAGGGATCCCCTGTGGCCGTTCCCCTCAATAATAAGTATACCATTTTGGATACTGTTGGGGAGGGGGGGTGACCTACCAGGGGAAGGCCATAGTGGACAGGTCTCTGGCACTGAGCCTAACCTTGTGGCAAAGAAGGGAAGGGGAGAGAATAGGAGAGCAATTGTAGTGGGGGATTCGATAGTAAGAGGCACAGACAGGCGGTTCTGTGGACACGAATGAGATGAAAGGATGGTATGTTGCTTCCTGGGTGCCAGGGTCTGTGATGTCTCGGATCCTGTCTTCAAGATCCTTAAGGGGGAGGGTGAGCAACCAGCAGTCATGGTACACATTGGTACCAATGACATAGGGAGTAAAAGGACTGAGAATGTGAAAAACGAGCACAGGGAGTTAGGTTGGAAGCTGAAGTCCAGGACAAACAGGATAGTTATCTCTGGATTACAACCAGTGCCACGTGATAACGAGGTAAGAAATAGGGAGACAGTGCAGCTAAATACATGGCTACAGGGCTGGTGTCGGAGGGAGGGCTTCCATTATATGGATAATTGGAGCACATTCTGGGGAAGGTGGGACCTGTACAGTAAGGACAGGTTGCACCTGAACCGGAAGGGCACAAATATCCTGGGAGGGAGGTTTGCTCGAGCTGTACGGGATGGTTTAAACTAGTTTGGCAGGGGGTGGGGAACCGGATTTATAATTCAGAGGATGAGGTATTCGGCCTTCCAACAGACACAACAGGGAGTGAGGTGGTTTATAAAGAAATGCGGTTGACGGAGCGTAATTGCGGACACCGAGATGGTTTGAGGTGTGTATACTTCAATGCAAGAAGTATCAGAAATAAAGCGGATGAACTTAGAGCATGGGTCGGTACTTGGAACTACAATGTTGTGGCCATTACAGAAACTTGGGTAACTCAGGGAGAGGAATGGTTGTTGGAAATTCCGGGATTTAGATGCTTTAAAAGAAATAGGGAGAGTGGAAAAAGAGGTGGGGCAGTGGCATTGCTAGTCAGGGCTAGTATAGCAGCTACTGAAAGGCAGTTCGGGAATGATATATCTACAGAGTCAGTTTGGGTTGAGGTCAGGAACAAGAAAGGAGCAGTCACTTTTTGTTGGGGTTTTTTTTTTACAGACCCCCTAATAGTTGCAGAAAAGTAGCGGAGCAGATTGGGAGGCAGATACTTGAAAGGTGCCAAAGTCACAGGGTTGTAGTCATGGGTGACTTCAACTTTCCAAATATTGATTGGAAACATCTTAGTTGTAATATAGTTTAGATGGAGCAGATTTTGTCCAGTGCATTCAGGAAGGATTCCTGACACAGTATGTAGATAGACCAACATGAGGAGAGGCCACTTTGGATTTGGTGCTTGGCAATGAACCGGGCCAAGTATTAGACCTGTTGGTAGGAGAGCATTTTGGCGGTAGCGATCATAACTCTGTTTCTTTCACGATAGTCATGGATAAAGATAGGTACATACGGCAAGGTAAAGTTTATAATTGGGGGAAGGGTAATTACAATTCAGTTAGGCAAGAACTGGGTAACATAAATTGGGAACAGATGCTGTCAGGGAAGAGCACCACAGAAATGTGGAGATTGTTTAAGGAATGCATACTGCATGTGCTCGATATGTTTGTCCCTAGCAGGCAGAGAAGGTGCGGTCGAGTGAGGGAGCCATGGTTCTCGAGAGAGGTCGAATGACTGGTTAAGAGGAAGAAGGAGGCTTATGTAAGGTTTAGGAAAAGAGGAACGGAAAAGGCTCTAGAGGGATACAAGTTAGCCAGGAAGGAGCTGAAGAAAGGGCTTAGGAGAGCTATAAGGGGGCTTGACAAAACCTTGGCGGATAGGATCAAGGAAAACTCCAAGGCTTTTTACATGTATGTGCAGAACAAGAGAATGACCAGAGAAAGGGTAGGGCCGATCAAGGATTGTAAAGGGAATTTGTGCACAGAGCCCAAAAAGAGATAGGAGAGGTCCTTAATGAATACTTTTCTTCAGTATTCACAACTGAGAGGGACCTAGTTGTAGAGGAGGACATTGTGAAACAGGCAGGTAGGCTAGAGGAGGTTGATGTTAGTAAAGAAGATGTGCTAGGAATTCTGAGGAAGTTGAAGATAGATAAGTCCCCCGGGCCTGATGGGATTTATCCAAGGATTCTATGGGAAGCTAGGGACGAGATCGCAGGGCCTTTGGCAATGATCTTTTCGTTCTCCCTGTCCACGGTTATAGTGCCGGAAGATTGGAAAGAGGCAATCGTCACTCCCTTGTTCAAAAAAAGGGAACAGGGATAACCCCGGAAATTACAGGCCAGTTAGTCTTACGTCAGTGGTGGGCAAATTATTGGAAAGGGCTCTGAAAGACAGGATTTATGATCACTTGGAAAGGCACAGTTTGATTCGTGATAGTCAGCATGGATTTGTGAGGGGTAGATCATGCCTCACAAACCTTATTGAATTCTTTGAAGAGGTGACCAAACACGTGGATGAAGGTGGAGCAGTGGATGTGGTATACATGGATTTAAGTAAGGCGTTTGATAAGGTTCCTCATGGTAGGCTCATACAGAAGGTAAGAAGACATGAGATAGGGGGAAATGTGGCAGATTGGATTCAGAATTGGCTGACCCTTAGAAGACAAAGGGTGGTAGTGGACGGAAAATATTCAACATGGTGCTCAGTTACGAGTGGTGTACCACAAGGATCTGTTCTGGGTCCTCTTCTATTTGTGATTTTTGTAAATGATTTGGATGAAGGAGTGGAAGGGTGGATTAGCAAGTTCGCAGACAATACAAAGGTGGGTCGCGTTGTGGACAGTGCGGAGGGCTGTTCTCGGTTACAAAGGGACATTGATAGAATGCAGAGCTGGACTGAGAAGTGGTAGGTGGAGTTTAACCCTGAAAAGTGTGAGGTGATTCATTTTGGAAGGACAAACTTGAAAGCAGAATACAGGGTTAACGGAAAGATTCTTGGCAGTGTGGAGGAGCAGAAGGATCTTGGGGTTCATGTTCACAGTTCCCTGAGAGCTGCCACCCAGGTGGATAGAGTTGTTAAGAAGGCATATGGTGTGTTAGCTTTCTTTAATAGAGGGATTGAGTTCAAGAGCTGTGAAGTTATGCTCCAGCTATACAAAAGCCTGGTTCGGCCACATCTGGAGTATTGTGTCCAGTTCTGGTCACCTCATTACAGGAAAGATGTGGAAGCATTAGAAAAGGTGCAGAGGAGATTTACCAGGATGTTGCCTGGAATGGAGGGAAGGTCTTACGAGGAAAGGGTGAGAGAGCTCGGGCTTTTCTCTTTAGAACGACGAAGGATGAGAGTTGACTTGATAGAGGTGTACAAAATGATCAGAGGTATAGATAGAGTAGACAGCCAGAGGCTTTTTCCTAGGGTGGAGGTAGCTTTTATGAGGGAACATAGTTTTAAAGTGTAAGGAGTTAGATATCAGGGAGACGTCAGAGGTAGGTTCTTTACTCAGAGCGTGGTAGGAGCGTGGAACGCATTGCCGGAGTGGGTAGTGGAGTCGGCCTCATTAGGGGCATTTAAGCGGCTATTAGATAGGCATATGGATGATAGTATAAGGTAGCGGTGGAGGTTAGATAGAGCTTAGGTTTAGGGTAAAAGTTCGGCACAACATCATGGGCCGAAGAGCCTGTACTGTGCTGTACTGTTCTATGTTCTATCTTATAATTCAGGCAGGAAAAAACAACAGTGACTTAAAACTACAGGCGAACCTTAGAATCACACTACTCAGCATTCCACTTTTTTCATTGAACGGCATATGTAACAGTTCACTCAGGGTCCAAGTTGCTATGGTAACATTTTCTATGGTATGGTGTTTCAGCATGGAGCAATGGATGGTCATGTTAGAGGCTCCAATGTTCTATCCATCATATGGTTGACCAGTAATCCCTCCCACTCTTACCACCTGCCATTTGTATGTGTTGGAAGACTTTGAGGTTGATACTAAAACTTTATAGCTGTGTTATGAATGCACCTTCCTTGACCATAAAGTCTCAGACTAGGACCCAAACACAGAGCCTCTGGATCAGAGGCAGCGATACAGCCATTTCATGCGATAGAACTAATATATGGCTTTTCTCACAAACAACCTAGAAATATTGACAGGACTGTAGCAATTAGAGAATAGGGCTGAAATTGCTCAGACTGGTGAAGACTAAGAAAGAAAGAAAGAAAATAGAAAGAATGCAAAGTGCAAACTTGCCCACATGAATTTAGGGCATTTTTCTTCCAAAAACATCAGAAGCATCTAATAAGATTTAATTTCCTTTGATCATACACTTTAAGCCATTTATTTCAAATAGATAAATAACTCATTACAGTGGTTCACGAGCATTGATAACCAGTCTCCAAGGAGTTGAACTAAACCCTCATAAGTTAATTATGATTCATGACTGTCCATGGAACTGATCCAGAGTTACCTACCCCACTGTCAGTGGTGCATCCCCACTTCTGTTGGTATAGTTAACAACTGCATTGAAGGACTGATTAGCCCACTGCCAAAAGACTACTGCTGGAGTGGTCCTGTCAAATAAAGAGAAAAGTAAAGAATCAAGCAACATTCCACACTGGGAGAGGAGTGGGCTTAATACACAGACACAAATGACAGGAAGACCAGCCAGTACATGCTCTATTTCATTATGGTTCATGTGTGACTCTCTCTATGATGCTGTTTCAGCTCAGGCAGAAAGTGAATCATAGTGAGGCAGTACATAATTTAAAGAGTCATACATTTTATATCGTGTACCTCCAAACCACCAAGCACATTTCTTGTTCATATTTCACACAAGTAAGACTCATGTCCACCACCTGAATGCAGTATGCACATGTTATGTCATACCATCTCTGAGCAAGCTGATTAGGAAATTTCTATATGATAACAACAAGGGCTCTTGTGGTGTAATGGTAGCGTCCTTACTTCTGGGACAGAATATCCCGCCTGCTCCAGGGATGTGGAACAACTCTGAATGGATTGAATAGATATTTCCTAAACAATCATCAAAGACTAAAGAAGTAGGCTCTTGTGGTACCAGTGGTAGTGTCTCTATCTCCGGGCTAGAAGGCCTGGGTTCAGGTCCCAGCTGCCATGGAGATGTGTCACATCCTGTCCAGACAAATTGACTAAAATATAAATCCTGGCCTGTTTCAAATGTATTGGACTTAGCCCAGTTGTGTTTTAGCAAGCACTCTGCAGGTAGTAAGACTAAAAATTTGACTTCTGACTAATCAGAAACAAGTCATGAAGATCTAGCTCAAATGACAAAAGGAATCTATTCATATTAGATCTTTGAATAATATAATTTCAAATTAAATAAGCAAGGCAAATAGATAGCTCCTTCATCCACACAACTATCTCTTCTCCTTTTCAACCGAGTGTTCAAAGGAAAAGAAGACTAACATAAAACAGCCCATTTTCCAAGTTACTTATTCAAATACTCTTCAATACACATCTCATTCTCACTCAAGACAACACAAGCATTAAAAATGCTCTGGGTTTTGGCTATTCAACAAAACAAATCACAAGAATCTTCGGCCTCAACGAGTTCAAAGCACTTTTAGAATTAAATTTCCAGTCAAAAAATAAGCACAGGGAAGACAATATTCAACCTTCACCGGAGGTCATTAAGAAAGCCGAATTTTCAAAATGAAAAAAAAAATTGTGCTGTGAGGCTTAAGCACAATCTATGCTGACACTGCACTGCAATACTGAAGGGATTCAACATTGTTAGAGGCAATGTCTTCAGGATCAGATATTACATTAAAGGAGCCAACTGTATTCCAAGTTGGATGTGACAGATTTCATGGTACTAATTAAAGAAAACTGGAAATATTCTCTCAGAACCCAATATCCAAAACTACAAAAATGATTACCAAATCAGCTATCTTCCTACCATTAGTGGCACTTAGTTCCATCCAAATTGGCAGCCCTGTTTACCTATAGTACAGGTGTATGCCACTTTTGGGTATCCGGAGGTGGCCTCTGAAACACTATCAAAAATGCAAGATCTTTTAGATTCATTTATGTCCAATTTATTGTAACTGCCAATAGCATTTGATGTCACTGGGCCGTATAGTTAATAAACTGCAGACTAACTGCTCACTGCATGAACCATCATTCCTGAGTAAATATTGGGCTGTTTTGTTCCTAATGTATGTTCAATCAGTGAATTATAAACTGCTTATGAAAACACACCGGCACACAGTTTTACATTTAATTGAAAAAAAAACATACTTTAACTTTTATTTTATACGTTTGTAAATTTTAACATAAACTTGCCTGTAAAATGTCAGCATGCAACCAGTAATGGTCATATTCATTGGAACCTGGGCAGACATCCGCCCAATCAGAATCATTTTTTCACCCGTGTCTGGATGAAAAGCTGAATCATAGATGTACTTCGCTTTCCAAAGTTCATCTTCAGTTAGGCCTGGTTGGACTTTACCATGCCTGAAAAATCAAAAATGCTAGAATTATGAGCAAAGCAATACTAAATTAAGTCATCACAGAATTAATATACACCAGGGACCCAGTAAAACATGGTCTGCTACAGCTTGGATTCAGCATAAATGTGGAACAAGCAAAAATCGAAATTGCTGGAGAAACTTAGGAGGTCTGGCAGCAGATCTGAGAGAGAAACAAAGTTAATACTGACTCCAGTGACCCTTCTTCAGAACTCTCAATGATTGTTGTCCCCGATTTTCCATTTGAAATGTGCGACAATATCAGATCGACACTCAGGCTAGTTCCCTAAGCTGTACAGCAGCGAAGACCAATCAGGAAAGAACTGATTGGAAGGGCAACTCTTCAGGAGTCAAACTATCACAACTCAGTGAAGAGTAAGATGGCAAACTCCAGCTGCTATGTTGTGGATAATTGAAGATTCCTTTCCAGCCTGTTAATCCAAAATTTATCACATATTGCAGCCATTTTTCTAGCTGTGGAGAATTTTGAAGTTTTGTTTGTGTTCATGTGTGATTTGTGAGGGTCTTTTTCATAGTCCTTCAAGTGTTAAAGCATCCATCATTTACATTCATTGCACTTAAGCCTGTAACACTGGCAGATCTTCCATGTTCAGCTGAGTTGCTTGTATCTGAAAGAATAGATACATCTGTCCATGTTTCAGGCTCACTTGCCATTAACCATCAGCTCAGCATGCCAGGATTCATTTTATGGGTCTGCAAATTCAGGGAAGTCTAAATGAGCCTGTTGCATCCCACAAAAGCCCACCTTATTCTCCCGTATCCAGTATCCTCCTCTAATACTTGAATACTTTGACTATTGTGCTTTGAGTTTAGGTTTCTGTTCTGCAGCTTGAGCTCTGAAATGGTTTCTCTCTTAGCACGCATTACCATCACCAGACAGACTCCCACATGTTCTTCCGCTTCTCTGTAAGACCTTTGATCTACAATTTGTTACTCACTGTGGCTGACTGATATTTTTTTCAATTTGTCACATTCCCTGTTGTAGACTTTCCTACAGTTTGTCAGCATTGCATGAGCTTTCCACCTCTGCGGTCGGGCAGCTAGATGGGCCATCGGATCCATCACCTGCTCCTCCCTTTCACTGCTGGGCTTCAGCTAAGGTTTCTTTCCCACTTTCTTGGTCAGATTGCTGGGCAGGCATCACCTTTCACTCATAGCACTGCACTCTGCTGGACCACTTCAGGTGTCCCTTGTCATTTCTCTCTTGTTCCCCCAGGTCTGAATACTGTCGCCACCATGTAATAAGCTCAGGTTATACACTCAGATGAGTAAACAATTACAGGCTTTACTGAGCATAACAATATACAACAGAAAGTAAGAGCAGTATCTTTCCACAGTATTACTGGCCAGGTTCAGCTCCATGTGATCTGGTGTCACTATGACACAGTTCCTTTTTCACATGCTCAGTCACTTTTGAGTAAAAAGGTATAGTTTACCCTGCATTCTGTGGAATAAAGGGTTATGATGCACTAATGTATCCAAGAAAACAAAACAATTGTTTCATCTGTTCTAGCAAAATCCAATCCCGAAATTGTAGAAGCCTTCAGTACTATATGCTATAATATGATAGCTCCACTTTATAGCATCTTTTAGTGGCTGCTGTGAAACTGGAATAAAATAAAGCTAGATAACAGATCTTACTGAAATTGAAACTAAGCTGACTGGCTTGACATTCTTCTTCCAGGAATTTTTTTTTCTCTCTTAAATAATTACTGAAATTAAGCCTAGTGACTTTATTTAAAAAAAAAGGACGTTGTATAATTCTAAGTGACAGGACTGTGAAATACTGCCAACTGCAGGGTTTCAGATAATGGAAACTTGTGTGCAAAATACTTTTAAGATATCTGTTCATAGCTTCCACAAATAATGGAAATCTCCATTAATGAATGTTAACTTCCAAAAATATCATTAATGTACGCAGCTACTCCTCAGGGAAAGACTGGCTAATATGCAAGACAGTTCTAGAGACATGAATTACTGCCTTAAGCTCATTGGTAGATATTAGCACTCTGTCACATATTTAATAACTGGTAAAATAGCACATGCTCACTATGTCAAATTTCTTACTATCAGCCAACTAGCGAAGAGATACAACAGTGACAAAAGATACCCGAACTGCATTGTGATACGATTGAATTATCTTAATTCTGCAAGGCAGCAGAGGGGTTGGAGTACGAATAGTGGCTTAGCAGACATATCTGATGTCATTTGACATGGTAACTCATATCCACTTCACCCAATGTTGTCCCTGCCTTTCTCTATGTCCTCAACTGAGAGATGGTTACATTAGTGCTGGTTACCCTCTGGTTCATAGCCAAGGTAACTATTTATGAAAGTCTATACAGGAAATGTTGACAGGCAATTTGGCTGGGGAAATCAAAATTTTGCACTGAACTAACATACTTTGAGTTGGACTGTTTACATAGCCAACAGAAAAGGAAACTTTTAAGCCATTCTCCCTAAAACTGCCAAGGGGACGCTGAGAGTACTTGTTGTGACTCCAATTACCACCTTGCAAAGATCAAATAATGGCTCATCTATTTGAGGTGCTGAATAGCTAAATGAGCTAGTGTAGAGGGAAGTAATTTGGTGTTTTTTTTATTTTACTTAGCATTCACCTTTGCTCAGTGATAACTAGCTCAACACTGAACATGAAGGTAATAGGTTCAAATCCCATTAAGTGACCGGAGTACATAATCTAAGCTGACATTTCAGGGTAGGACTGAAGGACAGCTGCATTGTCATAGATCTGCTTAGGAAACCATATGTGAAAATGAAGATCACTATTTGAAGATTAAGAACAGAATCAGCATCGGCAGTTCCTACTATCTCAGAATTCTTCTGAAGTCTTGTTTAGATATTTATCCTGTGATGAACATTGAAATTACTATCTGGTGATTTATCTAATTGTTGATTTCTGATCTTTGTATGAAAATTGGCTACTGCAAGTCTGCAAGTCATGTTTAAAGTACCAGTAGTTATACTTCATAGTGATTCATTGGCAGCAAAGCACTTTGGGACCTCCAAGGATGTGAAAGAATCTATATAAATGTGCATTTGGTATAAATGCCAGTTTCTTTTTAATAATTACTAGTTTTCCATTGACATTATGCAAGGACAAGCTGTCACAATTGTGCCCATGGATATTTAATGATTACAGTCACTGATAATGTGTCTAAATAATTTAATGATATCGCTGGCATTTGTCTGGGCCACTTGCTACAGGAACATGATGTAACACACTACAGAATGCAAAAGGCCAGTGAGACAATGCAGGAGTTCCAACAGAAAATCAACTCCAATTTTCAGCCACCCCTGTGCAAAAGCAAAGGACTTAACAACACCTCAGATGGCTGCAGAGAGACAAACTAAAGTGACTATAAAATGACTCTGTGTACTATTTACCACAGCCTACAAAACAGTATAGCACAGGAACAGAATCTTCAGCACAATGTGTCCGTGATGACCATGATGCTATTCTAAACTAATCCTGTCTACCTGCTCATGTGTCTGTCTAAATGCCTCTTAAACTTTGCTATTGTATCTCCCTCATCCACCTGTCCTTGGCAACGCATTCCAGGCACCTACCACCCTCAGTGTAAAAAATCTGCATCAAACACCTCTTTTAAACTTTGCCCCTCTCATTTTAAACCTATGCCCCCTGTTATTTGACATTTCTACCCTGGGAAAAAGACTCCAACTCTCCACCCTAACCACTGCCTCTCATAATTCTATATACTTATACCTCAGCCTCCAACACTTTAGTGAAAACAATCCAAATTTGTCCAACCTCTCCCCATGGCTAACACACTCCCATCCAGCCAACTTCCTGGTAAACCTCTTTTACATTCTCTTCAAAATGTTCATATCCTTCCTATAATGCAGTGACCAGAACTGCACACAATGCTCTAAATGTGACCTAACTAAAGTTTTTTACAGCTGCAACACGACTTGCCAACTCTTATGCTCAGTGCCCTGACCAATGAAGGCAAGCATGCTGTGTGTCTTCTTTACCACTTTATCCAGTTGTGTTGCCACTTTCCGGAAGCTATGGACTTGGGCCTCTAGATCCTTCTGCACAAAATAGAATAGCATAGAATAGTACTTTATTGTCACTCTGTATTTATGAAAATACAGTGACATGTATATAAGTCGCCACATTCGGCGCCATTTTAATTACAGAAATTATATTTTTTTAAAAAGTGACCAAGTTAGGACAAAGTTTATCTTTTGTTTCCTCCATGGCTCCTAGGTTTATGGAGTGGTTATGGGACACTGCTGCCGAAGCCGCCCCCAAGACCACCAAAGCAAGGATTTCCAGACCAGACCCACCACGCTGCCACTACCAAAGCTGACACTGAAGCCACTGCATTATTGCCATATCAAGCAGGGACAGACCAGACCCACCAAGTCACTGATGCTGAAGCCATCACCACTTCAGTTGCTGCCTAAGGCCACCACATTGCTGCCATAGCCACGAGGAACGAACCGGAACCACCATACTGCCACCACTATAGCCACTGCTGAAATCGCCACACCGCCACCAGGAGGAAGGGACCAGACCCACCAATGATGAAGCTTTCAATAAAGCTGCAACCAAGATGGCCACAAGGAACAAACATCTGGATCCACTATGCTGCTGCTGCCACCAGTGCAAGTCCTCACAACCACCTTCCTCCACCGCAGCCCCAGAAGAGAAGAAAAGGCGAACTTGGATACAAAACAGAAATGAAGAAACAAAACAATCCAAAAGAACAGAGAAGAATATGGCCGGCCTGGTGAGTGGCAGCATTCTGGCACAGAGCCCAAACACCTCCTACCCTGCTGTTGCCGTCATCTTGAAATATCGTCCATAAATCAATGCTCCTGACAGTCTTGCCATTTACTGTATACTTTCCTCTTGGATTTGACCTCCCAAAATACATCACCTCACACTTGTGTGGATTAACCACTGTCTGCCTTTCACTGTCCAACTTATCTATATCCTGCTGTATCCTTTAGCAACTTTCCACACTATCCACAGCTTCACCAATTTTCGTGTCGTTTCCAAACTTACTAATCATACCACCTACATTTTCATTCAAATCATATATAAAATTACAAACAATACAGCTCACAGAACTGATCTTTGTAGAACACCACTGATCAGAGACCTTCAGTAATAAAAATGCCTCCATAACTACCCTCTATCTCTTATGACCAAGTTAATTTTGTTTTCAACTTACCAGCAACATTGAGTACAAGAGTCTGGATGTCATGTTGCAGCTTTATAAGACTTTGGTTAGGCCGCACTTAGAGTATTGCGTTCAATTCTGGTCACCAGATTACAGGAAGAATGCGGAGGTTTTGGAGAGAGTGCAAAAGAGGTTTACCAGGATACTGTCAGGATTAGAGGGTATGAGCTATAAGGACAGGCTAGAAAAACTCGGACTGTTTTCTCTGGAGTGGTGGAGGCTGAGGGGAGACTTGACAGAAGTCTATAAAATTATGAGACACATAAATAGGGTTGACAGTCAGAGTCTTTTTCCAGGAGGTGAAATGTTTAATACTAAGGAGCATGTATTTAGGTGAGAGTGGGGTAAGTTCAAAGAAGACGTGAGGGCCAGGTTTTTGTTTTACACAGAGTGTAGTAGGAGTCTAGAACACACTGCCAGGAGTAGTGGTGGAGGCACACACGATAGGGGCATATAAGAGACTTTTAGATAATCACATGAATATGCAAGGAATGGAAGAATATGGACCAAGGGCAGGCAGAAGGGATCAGTTTAATTTGGCATCATGTTCGGCACAACATCATTCACGTGCTGTACTATTTCAAGTTCTACGTTTACCAACTCACCATGGATCTCATTTGAGGTAATTTTCTGCACCAATCTACCATGTAGGACCTTGTCAAATGCCTTAGTAAAATCCATGTAAACAACATCCACTTCCCTAATCTCAACCATCTTTGTCACTTCCTCAAAAAACTCAATCAAATTGGTGAGACAGCACTTTCCTGCACATAGCCATGCTGACCGCCCTAACAAGTCCATTCTTTTTCAAATACGAGTACATCCTGTCCCCAAGAATCTTCTCCAATAATTTCCCTATTACTGAGGCTCACCGGCCTATAATTTCCTGGGTATTCCTGTTAGCACCCCTTAGACAAGAACAACATTGGCGACTCTCCAGTTTACTGGGGGGACCTCACCTGCGCGTAAAGAGGATACAAAGATCTCTGTAAAGGGCCCAGCAATCACCTCCCTCAGTTTTCTGGGATAAATCCTGTCCGGGTCTGGGGACTTATCTACCTTCATGTTTTTCAAGACACCCAATACTTCCTCCTCCTTAATATACACATGCCCTAGAATATCGACACACCTCTCCCTAATCTTATCATCATCCATGTCCTTCTCCTTGGTGAATACTGATGCGAAGTACGCTTTTGTAGGTGTTAAGGAATGTAAGCTCCAAGCACTTATAGGTGCTGATGCCCCTCCAGAACTTATCTTCCACCCTCTGTCCCATTCCTTCCTCTAATTCCACTTCTCATCATGCACTCATTATACCCTCTGACCTTCCACTCTCCGACACAGAACAATATGTGCTGTGCAAAGGACTCAGTATTATCAATTCACACCCTCCTCAATAAATTTTAGGCCTGACACAATGGTGAACTCTTCTTTCATCTTCTCTGCCTCTGTGCCCACTTCTTTGGGAAGGAGTCACCTCACTACTCCATGGACATTTTCGCAGACCATCTCCACTGTTTGGTCTGGCCTTTTACTCATGTTTGAACATTCCATCAAGGACAGTCAGTGTGACAACAGCCGCCTCAATTTTTCTTCACCAGGGCCACCATCCAATCTAACCTTTCTTCCTCTGAACTTGTTGATCTCTGTTCTCTTAGGTCAAACCCTGACTTTGCTGTCAAACTCTGTTCCAAAGAAGAAGCACACTGGACTTCAAACACTTACTCTGCTTTTCTCATTCACTCCTGGTCAGTTTCTCCAACACTTGCTGTTTTTATTTAAGTGTACTGCAGACCTCACTATACTGAAGAAAAACACTCATTCATTGACTACATTTAATACCTCAATAAAGCCTTATTGAAACAAACAATTCATGCAAATTTAATATATTACATACCACAATTCATATTCCCAAATAAAAAGTCTAAATAATACTTATAATTGTCAACCTATCTGCCAAATAAAGGCAACCCACTATGATATTAGATCCTTGTGGAATCAGTTGTGTGGAACTAATTTAATAATGGAAATTCTCAGGCTAATGTCAACAGAGAGTGAAATATCAAAGGGACCATTTTCAACACTCTCCAGACTCTCTTTTCAAAGATTAAAGGGCCTGGAGATTTAAATGTTTGAGAGTTTCATTTGACCTCTTGAACATTTCCAACAGCTTGAAATCCAAATTTGTTTATGCACTATTTACACACAAGCTTGTCTTTTAACAGACCAAAAGAGCACCCAACTTCTTCCAAAGAGGCATCTTACTTTTTCCTTACCTGCACCAAAAATGTGCCTGGACCAGATCTAAATGGATCTAGTTTATCTATCCAAAATGGTACCCTAAATCGCCAAACAAATCCACCCTACTACAGAAAGGCTATAATTAAACCAGAAAGAGTTCAGTTTAATAGGATGCTATCTGGTCTGGAAGGTTTGAGTCATAAGGGGAGGCTGGATAGGATGGGACTTTTTTCCCCTGGACCGTAGGAAACTGAGGGGTGACCTAATAGAGGTCTATAAAATCATGAGAGGCATAGATTAGGTGGATAGCCAACAGCTTTTCTCCACAACAGGGGAATCTAAAACTAGAGGGCATAGGTTTAAGGTGAGACGGGAGAATTACAAAAGAGTCCAGACAGGCAATTATTTCACACTGAGGGTGGTGGGAATCTGGAACAGGCTGCCAGAGATAGTGGTGAAGGGGAGTACAATTTTGTCCTTTAAGAAACATTTGCACAGGTATATGGATGAGATATGTATGGAGGGATAATGGACCAAATGCAGGCAAATGGAAGTAGACTAATTGTGAAAACTGGGCAGCATGGACAAGTTGGACCAAAGGGCCTGTTTCCATGCTGTAAACCTCTATGACTCTATTTGCTTTCACTTGGTCTGATTTGCACACTTTGGGTTCAGACACCTATCACCAAAAATCTCACAGGATTGGAGACGATTTAAATGCCATCTACTTCCGTAAAACACACGCGAATTACAAGCAGACTCTAAACCCACCCCAGCCAAAGGGGAAATGTGGTTTTGGCACCAGGGCCTGGGATTTCCTAAGATTAGCCAAGAGATAGGCTCTCCAACATGGAACACACCTAGGTTTATAAGTTTTATTTTTTTCCCAAATTGATAGGACGAAAGTCCAACAACAAGTATCCTACACCAAATATAAGCTTCAGTAGTGTGGATCCAATTGCTAGTAGGCAAATGATTGATACTGCAGAAGCTACCCCGATGTAGCAGAATACTGTTAATCTCAAGATGGATGTGCCAAGTGGAAAATCTGACCTGGTAACAACCTGAGGCTGTAATTCAGGCACAGATGGGAGAGGAGTAAAGTGTGTTCTACAGTTAGCAGTATTACAACGGTTTTAGGACAGCTCCATACTGGCAGTAAAGCACACAAGTCCAAAAAAGGAGCTGCAACTTCTTTTTTAAAAGACAGTGACAACAAAAGCTTGCTTTATAAATATATCCATCCAGATTACTAAAATAATCTACGTACAGCCTTGATAACAAAACAGAAGGATAAAAGAACGTTGAATAGAACAGGAAGCTAACTAGAATTCCATTGCATTGGCCGTGATGTGATATTCATTTTTTTAAGCTGATAAAGAGAAGTATTAAAATGACACCATGCAATATTATGGTCCACAATCTTACTTGTAGTTCTCAACAATGGTCCTCGCTGCCTCTAACTCCTCACTGGAAAGTAGAACATTGCGGGGGTCCGTCACCATAAAGAAGTGCTTGGCTCTCCCCAGGAAGGTTCCTTGGTCCCATCGTGGTTCTTTTAAATTGATATTTGACCTCAACTTTTCAGACATTTCTACTGAGAAAAGAAAATTGAAATTAAAAGGTCAGTGGAAAACTGTCAGGAGCAAAAATGATTCCAGTGAAGTGCACAATAGCTTTAAGGCAAGTAGTTCAAAACTTGGGGCTCTACCATTATTAAACACCAGTAAGTCACTTGATTTAGCAAAATACAACATCTCAATTCTTAAATTTCACAAAATAAAAACTGAAAGAACTGTAGATGCTATAAATTAGAAATAAAAACAGAAACTGCTAGAAAAGCTCAGCAGGTCTGGTAGCATCTGTGGAGAGAAATCAGAGTCAATGTTTCAGGTCGAGTGAACCTTCCTCAAAACTCAGGGTTGCCTCAAACGTTAACTCTGATTTCTGTCCACAGATGCTGCCAGACTTGAACTTTTCCAGCATTTTCTGTGTATTTAAAATTTCACTATTAGTTTGTCAAATTCTACAACCTTCAATTTCTGATGTAAATGCCTTGTTTTAGCATTTATATACGTACATAATAAATAAAACATGCTACATGCATGCACACACAGATCTATACGTTACTATTCATATGTCCAGCATCATAAGAGTCATAAAGCTGAACAGCATTGGTCCAACTCGTACATGCTGACAAAATATCCTAAATTAATCTAGTCCCATTTGCCAGCATTTGGCCCATATCCCTCTAAACCCTCCCTATTCATATACCCATCCAGATGCCCTTTAAATGTTGTAATTCTACCATTCTCCACAACTTCCTCTGACAGTTCCTTCTGTACATGCACTACCGTCTGTATAAGTTGTTGCCCCTTGGGTCCATTTTAAAACTTTTCCCTCTCACCTGAAACCTATGCCCTCTAGTTTTGGACTCCCCCACTTCAGGGAAAAGGCCTTGGCTACTCACCTTATCTATAACCCTCATAAACTAGTACAAGGTCACCCCTCAGTCTTTGGACCTCCAGGGAAAATAGCACCAGCCTAATCAACCTCTTCCAATAGCTCAAACCCTCTAACCCTGGCAAAATCCTTGGAATCTTTTCTGAACTCTTTCAAATTTAACAATATCCTTCCTATAGCGGGAAAACCAGAACTGCACACAGTATTCCAATAGTGGCCTCAACAATGTCCTGTACTGCCACAACATGACCTCCCAACTCCTATACTCATTGCCCTAACCAATAAAAGCAAGATTACCAAACGCTTTCTTCACTATCCTATCTACCTGCGACTCCACTTTCAACGAACTATGAACCTGCATTCCAAGGTCTCTTTGTCAGCAACACTCCCCAGGACCTTACCATTAAGTATAAGTCCTACCCTGATTTAACTTTCCAAAATGCAGCACCTCACATTTATTGAAATCAAGCTCCAACTGCCACTCCTCGGCCCATTGGCACATCCCATTGTACTCTGAGGTAGCCCTCTTCGCTGTCCACTACATCTACAATTTTGGTGTCATCTGCAAACTTACGAACTATACCTCCTATGATCACGTGCAAATTATTTTGTATAAATGATGAAAAGCAGTGGACTCAGCACTGATCTTTGTGACCAGCTGTGTGCCACAGTCCTCCAGTCTGAAAAGCACCACCACCCTCTGTCTTCTACCTTTGAGCCAGTTCTGTATCCAAATGGCTAGTTCTCCCTGTACTCCATGTGACCTAACCTTGTTAACCATTCTACCATGAGGAAGCTTATCGAACACCTTACTGAAGTCCATATAGATTATGTCCACCGCTCTGCCTTCATCATTACTTCTTCAAAAAGTTCAATCAAGTTGGTATTTCCAGCAGTACAGAAGCCACTCTAGATTTTTGTGCTCAAGGAGCAGGAATTGAGCCCATAACTTTCTGACACAAAGATATGAACGCAACAAGCTGAGTAAGTCTTGGAGCAAGGAGCTACAGAGAGTCAGAGAAAGGCTAAGTACAAAGTCTAAAAATTGCTAAACATTAGCATGGGAAAATGTGAAATTGTTCATCTGGATATAAGTAAAGAACAACTGAAATATTTTCTTAATGTGGAGAGTCTAGGGATTCACGTGTCTACGTGCTCAAACACTATAAGCTACTATGCTGTTAAAGACATTGATAGAACACTGACCTATACATCAAGAGGGTAGGAATACGAAAGTGATGTCTTAATTAACCAGAACCATGACCTACTTAGTATGGTTTGTGCAGATTCAGCAGAAAAGGTATCCCCAATTGCAGGATATACCCTTTTCCTAGCCAATTGTTCTGTAATGGAATAAACAAAAGGAACCCCAAGAGAAACTGTATATACTCTATTTGATATATTATAGGTTTGTTTACAGTCTCCAATATTTCTGAAAACAATAATCTAGGGTACTGGCTATTTATTTTGAGCCAGATTTCTTAAGGGTAGATAAGCAGGAACATAGAAAATATAGCAGGTTTACAGTAGAAATGAAATGTAAATATTTTCCCTCAAACATAGAAAAGAATATTCATAATCCAATGTTGACCTACTTTGGAAAAACAAACTGAGATACAATCCCTGAGCACCTGCAAAACCAAGATATTGCATTGGCACCCTTTGATGTACATAATTGTACAAAATTAAATAAGACAATCAAACAAACATGCTGCCAAGGATGCCTGCTACATTTTTCAAATACATACTGAAGATCAAATAAAAGCTGTTACTAACATGAGTATTATTTTCATATTAATTGACCATCTGCCAATTAAAGTCAACAGTTATCACAGCACCAGGGACCCAGGTTCAATTCCACCCTCGGGTGACTGTCTGTGTGGAGTTTGCACATTCTCCCCGTGTCTGCATGGGTTTCCTCCGGGTGCTCCGGTTTCCTCCCACAGTCCAAAAATGTGCAGGCTAGGTGGATTGGCCATGGAAAATTGCCCATAGTGTTGAGGGAGAGGTAGATTAGGTGGGTTATAGGGGGATGGGTCAGGTTGGGATGCTCTGAGAGTCAGTGTGGATTTGTTGGGCTGAAGGGCCTGTTTCCACACTGTAGGGATTCTATGAGTTATGCCAGCTAATTTAAGCATATCTACTCTTTGAAGGTTATACAAATGAAACATATTTAGGCAAAATATCTTGCCAGCTTAATACAAAAGTTACAGATTTGATCTGCTGCAGCGTTTATATTTCAAGCTAAACACTGAATGTGGCAGTGACTAAAATTTAAAGTGGCTGCCATTTTCCTTTTGGCAGTTATTAAAATACATAAAATGAAAAGCAAACTACTTTAAATGTACTCAGCTAACATTCATCAAAAGGCATTTGTGAAAATGTTTTAGTGAATGCCAGCTGCATATCAGTATCCATTTGTAGGATCACCCTCTTAATACTTTAATATCATCAATAAGTATCTTTCTGAAACAATAAAACAGAAATTGCTGGAGAAAAATCAGCAGGTCTGGTAACATCTGTGGCAAGAAAGCAGAGTTAATGTTTTATCAGAACTGGTGAAGGTGCTGCCAGGTTTACAGAGTTCCTCCAGCAATTTCTATTTGTTGTTTCAAATTTATGATGTGCACAGTTCTTTATTTTGTACAAGTGTCTGTTTGTTATTTATAGTCCTAGTTAAATTAATTTTTAAAACCCAAGATAACATTACATCATACTAACAGCTAATTGTAATGGTACTATTCTTGGATCCTATGAAATTTCGAATCTCTTACAGAGTCATACAGCATCGAAACGGGCCCTTCAATCTGACCAGTCCATGTCAAATGCAATCCCAAACTAAACTAGTTTCACCTGCCAGCTCCTGGCCCATATCCTTCCAAACCTTTCCTATTCATGCACTCATCCAAATGTCTTTTAAATGGTGTACCCACATCCACCACTTCCCCAGGAAGTTCATTCCACGTGCGAACCACCTTCTGTGTAAAAAAATTTGCCCCTCATGTCTTTCTTAAATCTCTCGCCTCTCACCTTAACGTGCCCTGTAGTCTTGAAATCCCCCATCCTAGGGAAAAGGCAACTATCATTAACTTTATCTATGCCCTTATTATTTTACAAACTTATATAAGGTCGCCTCTCAACCTCCTACCGTCCAGTTAAAAAAAAATCTTTATAACTCAAAACTTCCATACCTGGCAACATTCTGATAAATCTCTTCTGAACCCTCTCCAACTTAACAATATCGTTCCTATAACTGGGTGGCCTGGGTGAGTATTATATCAAGAATCCAGAAACAAGTCTTTGATCCTTAAAATTTTCAAGTTTTATATGGGATATTACACAACGAGTTTACATCCATTCAAATAACTTCAGAGGATTGATATATATGGGAACTTTAACAACGCAGTCTTGTGGACCTGCAGAGAAACACTCGCTTTAGTGCTTTGATCAAGCTGTTCAGACAAGTTCACCGGAGAAACTCAGCAGATCTTCAGCATCCACAGTTGTTTGTTACAGTCAGAACAGAGAAGCATCATGGCCAACACAGTGGTTATGCCGTTAGGGCGTTGGAGAAATGCACACAGGCAGCCTTTGAGGAAGTTTACCAGCAAGACAAACGAGAGATACTGTAATCACAATATTGCTGGTCCCTAAGGGCACCAAAGTACAAAGCTTGCTGGTATGTAAGAGGAAAGGGGAAATTGTCAGATGCTGCAATGCGCGCATGAAAACATCCTTGCTTCATGGAAAAGTTAATAACCTGCAGCACGTAGGAATCCATTCCTGAGATTAAAAAACACAGCCGCGATAGCGAACCAAGGCAAGGCATGGCATTAGTTGTGACCTTGAATGTGAGTTGGTGACAGTGCTGTGGGGATACAGCAATGAGGACAAATCACTGTATACAGGGTCCTCTCACTGTCAGGACAAGCCCTCACTCAGGCTGGGGAAAGGATGTCAAAGCCCAGGGGGAAACTCAGGGCCGGTTCCTGACGAACAGGCAGGGACTTACTGACCTACCTTTGACGGTGGGGAGGCTGCCCCCACCCCCCAAGCCCCGGGGGCCTGTCGGTCACTCAGGCGGGCGGGCCCTCACTCTCCCCGAGGCCGCTCACTCGGTCTCACTGCCCGGTCTCTCCCGGGGTCTCGATTCCGGTTTCTCTTTCCGTGATCCCCGGTCCCCGGTCCCCGGTCCCCGATCCCCGATCCCCGATCCCCGATCCCCGATCCCCGATCCCCGATCCCCGGTCTCTCTCTCTCTCACACACACACTCGCTCTCTCGGTCTCCGGGAAACGACCGCCCGCCCCAGCGACAACCGAACACACGCGGAGGGCGGGGTGTGATCTGATTGACAGGCCTCTCCACCACTCCACCGCGCGGCCCCCTCCACTCTGGCCAATCAACGCGTTCTGTGGGTGGGGAGGGGCGGAGACGCGGGGGCGTGGGCGTGGCCAGCAGTTTAGGGTGAGCGGCAGAAGGGCGGGGAGGGGGCGTCTCCCCGGAGCCCGCCCCCTGATTGGCTGCTGCTTCCTGACCTCATCTCATATGTTTTATATATATATATGTGACTCCCTTGTCCACTCCACACTCCCCTCCAGCCCCACCACACCCGGCACTTTTCCCTGCAACCGCAGGAAGTGCTACACCTGCCCCCATACCTCCTCCCTCACCCCCATCCCAGGCCCCAAGAAGACTTTCCACATCAAGCAGATGTTCACCTGCACATCTGCTAATGTGGTATACTGCATCCACTGTACCCGGTGTGGCCTCCTCTACATCGGGGAAACCAAGCGGAGACTCGGGGACCGCTTTGCAGAACACCTATGCTCGGTTCGCAATAAACAACTGCACCTCCCAGTCGCGAACCATTTCAACTCCCCCTCGCATTCCTCAGACGATATGTCCATCCTGGGTCTCCTGCAGTGCCACAACGATGCCACCCGAAGGTTGCAGGAACAGCAACTCATATTTCGCTTGGGAACCCTGCAGCCCAATGGTATCAATGTGGATTTCACAAGCTTCAAAATCTCCCCCTCCCCCTACCGCATCCCAAAACCAGCCCAGCTCATTCCCGCCTCCCTAACCTGTTCTTCCTCCCACCTATCCCCTCCTCCCACCTCAAGCCGCACTCCCATTTCTTACCTACTAACCTCATCCTGCCCCCTTGACCTATCCGTCCTCCCTGGACTGACCTATCTCCTCCCTACCTCCCCACCTACACTCACCTTTACTGGCACCATCCCTGCCTCTTTGACCTGTCTGTCTCCTCTCCACCTATCTTCTCCTCTATCCATCTTCTATCTGCCTCCCCCTCTCTCCCTATTTATTTCAGAACCCCTTCCCCTCCCCCATTTCTGAAGAAGGGTCTAGGCCTGACACGTCAGTCTTCCTGCTCCTCTGATGCTGCTTGGCCTGCTGTGTTCATCCAGCTCTACACCTTGCTTTCTCAGATTCTCCAGCATCTGCAGTTCCTACTATCTCTTTGAATTTCTGCCTTCTCGTTCCTGAACAGCTGTTCATGGAAACAGCTTCTCTCAATCTATTCTATCAAGTCCTCTCATAATTTTGATCACACTTGCATTTTGATTTTGAGACAAGTTTGGATTGGTCTAAAGAAATTTAGATTATTTGAAATGGTTTGCATAAATATTGCTCGAACAACTTGCAGTATGCACCAACATTGCTTGTTAATTTGAAACATTAAATACTCGTGGATAATTCTGGCAAGTTGAAGAGATATATTTAAGAAGAAAGATGAAAAACTTTAAGATAACTGGCATAAATTATGAGGTTAGTGACATAATTAAAAACCCTCAGCAACATTGATTGTGTAAATATATGCAATATATTCACACATTGTGTAAATGGTAATATGTTGAATTAATATAAAATCATCAACGAGGTATAGTTTGAGATGCCATTCATTATATTGTAAGATCATTAACTATGTTTGAATGCTCTCAATAAAAATTAAATTTATTTATCAACAATAAAAATAAATAAAACAGTTGCATACATTGATGTGAATCATTTTAAAATTACATTTTAGTGCATTTACATTACAAACTAAAACACTAGAGACCCTAAGCAAATTCTCAATAATTATCAGCTATTTTGAAAATAGCATCATACACTTCCACTTTAATTGCAATTTAGGATTCATATAGCGGCATAGGGATAATGTACTTCAATAATAACAGTATCTGAACACACAACTCTCGGAATTAAAGTAATAAGGTTAAAGCTGTAATGTGTGGGTAGGGACAAAATAGGTTAAAGCATTCATTGAATTCAAGTGTGAAATGTAATAATCTAATACTGGCTAATTGTTGTGTAATGTTTGGAGGAAGTTCTGTTTCTGGTCTCCAGTTTATTCATCATGCAATGATCCTCTCCCACACCTGTGTCATGGAATCATGCCACAACGGAAATGAACGTGCTTGTCTCTGGTGCTATATTTAAAACTTAGCTCCACAACCTAGGCTTTTCCTTTGTTTTGCCTGGCATTGGTCTTTCATGGCCCTTTTTGTTCTCCAAATTTCCTTTGTAAGTTTCCCGTTGCACATTTTGTAGTCATCCAGAACTTCTGCTGTTACAAATCCTCGGTATCTGCCGTAAGCTTTTTTCTTTTATCCCAATCCTGTATATCACTTGATAACCTGGGTTCTTCAAGACTTGATGTTCCCATCCACTAACTTTGATGGAACATGTTGGCCCTGTAGTATCCCTGATTCCTTCTTGAATGCATCCCATTGCTCTGACACCAATTTACTTCCAAGTGTCTGCTCCCAGTCCACTCTGGCCAAATTATTCCAGATCACATTAAAATCGGCCTTCCCCCCAGTTTAGAACTTTGATTGTCTTTTTCCAACACAATCTAATGAGTTATAATTACAGACTACAAAGTCTGGGGTAGATATCCAGGAACATGCATGACAGTTCCAGACTAACAGTGCTTCTCCAGGTGCACAATGGCGTTTTAACAATGTCACTGGTGCCAGGGATGCCAGTCCATTTGAGAATTTCCCAGCATTGGTGAGTTGTTCTGGGTGAGTCGTAGAATGGGCTAGAGTCAGACAAGAAAGGCACCACAGGGGCAGTGTAGACCATTAAGAAATTTGGTAAGATGTGGTGAGTAAACCCATTCAGCCTCACAGAGAGAAAATCTTCATGGAACTTGATGAAACAGACACTTAGCCAAAAAAAATCATCTAGATTCAGCCAGTTGTGTGATTTCATGGGTGTACAGAAAGAGTGATAACATCATTAATGTGATGCAACCCAGAACTAACTCACTCCAACAAATCATGGAATTGAAACTAGATTAGGCAAGCGTGCGTATTGACGATTTTTTGTCACATGATTTACAACAGGTCTAACAATTTTTTCTCTTACTCATTTTGTGAGTGTAAAGCACTGAAAAACTTCTGCAAAGTGGGTCCCAAGGCTCCCAACAGCAGAAGTGTGACAACCAAGGAGCTTCTCTGTGCACAAAGCTCTGAATTCTTCCCCAGTAGATTTTTGGACTGGGAAAGGGTCCAGAATGGGAAGGGGGTCACTGATGTTTATGCTTTAGATTTACAGGGTGACGCTGTCTGTATGCAGTTTGCACATTCTCCCCGTGTCTGCATGGGTTTCCTCCGGGTGCTCCGGTTTCCTCCCACTGTCCAAAGTTGTGCAGGCAAGGTGGATTGGCTATGCCAAATTGCCCATAGTGCCCAGGGATGTTTAGGTTAGGTGGGTTAAGTTAGACATGGGAAATGCAGATGTAGGGGTGTGGGTCTGGGTGGGATGCTCTTCGGAGGGGCAGTATGGACTTGTTGGGCCGAATGGCCTGTTTCCACACTGTAGGGATTCTATGATTCTATGAGAAAATGCTTTGAAATAAATGCAGAAGCTGGATTCCTATCACCAAGTCTGCCTTTCTTTACATGTGCTCTGTACATGGGCTGTGACAAGCCAGCTCAAAGATAGTCGCTTGACTGAGTAGCCCTTCTGAATCTCCTGTTTATATCTGTTAGCCAGGGATCCCTGACTGGCCCAAGTTAACAGCCATAGGGAAAGCATTGTGTGGTCCCTTTAATAGATGATGTGCTTTTTCTATGCTTAGAGATTCAAAAAGGATTTCTGTGGGTTTGCAGGTGCATAGAGCACCTGAATTGAAGCATTTGTATCAAAAGACTATACTGTTAGCAGGCAAAGCAGCTTTTTCACCAAGACAACAGACTTTTGGATTTAGCCAATTAATTTAAACCAGGCCCTTAGATCCCAAAAACCAATTAAATTTAAACCTGATGGTTTTGACAACATAGGAACAATACTGAGATAACAAGGTCCAGACTCGAAACGTCAGCTTTCCTGCTCCTCTGATGCTGCTTGGCCTGCTGTGTTCATCCAGCTCTACACCTTGTTATCTCAGCTTCTCCAGCATCGGCAGTTCCTACTATCTCTATATAGGAACAATACTATTGTAAGAAACTGACATGTCATCAAGGGTATAAAAGATGACAGTATTTGGAAAACTGGGGGAGAGCCAACTGTCATCTGCCAAGGGAATAGCTCTCAGCTCTAAAAGAAAGAATCACTGGCTCTCACAGGATTCTCTAAGGCTTAGAGTAAGCTCCATCTAATTTAAAGATGCCTATAGCACAAATAGTTAATGTTCCTGACAAAAGAATTCGACAGAGAAGGCATTCCCGATGGAAAGATTCACCGAGAAGGCATTTTTGATGGAAGAACTCTTTGGAGAAGACACAGAACATTCCAGAAGACATAACTTGGCTGTAATTTCGAGAGACTAAATTCTAATTTCCTTTTTTTGCTTCATATAAGTGGGACTTGCATTTATTGGAACATGACACCATTAGAATCCTGTTTTATCCGGGGAACAGTTAATTGTTAGAAGGGATTTATTTGGTTTGTTAATAATTTAGTTAATTTATTCACTGTTAGAGTTAGATGAATAAATTGTTACTTGTTGAGTATAAAAAGAGTGTCAGGTGGTGATTTCATTTCACCATTCCTTTTTAACAGACTGGGGTCTCTTTTACAGATTATAGGGCGAGGTGCGCCTATCTGGGCATTTGGGTTTTAGTTATCGGGGGACGGGGGAGATGACCTCAACTTTGTAACATGTAATGTCTACATGATGATGTCAGTGCTGGGAACCATGTGTTCCGAAAATAGGCGCACATGTGTAGTTGCCCAGTGCCAGCAAAAACTGCTTACTCATTGACACTCGCACCCACTGGTATTGCGTTTACAATTTTGTTAGCGAGAAACAGGAAACATGTGTTCAGAAACCTGGAGTT